ACTTGTAGTCTCTGTAGTTTACGGTCCGCACAATCTGCACAATCGATATAAATAAAATATCAACAACAAAAATAAACCAAAACAACTAATAAACAAAATATCAGAAACAAAAAATTACCTCTGTGGTCGCTTAAGCGATTTCGGATCGCTTAAGAGATCTTGATTTTGCCTCGTGCAAGATCTCTTAAGCGATCTGAAATCGCTTAAGCGACCAAGAGTAAACTGTAATGACTGCTTTATACTAGGATACTCATAGAAATATATCAAGTAGAATACATTTATATTAGCAAAAGTAAATGGGCCCAAAATTTTCTTTTATTACATATAGACATTCTTTATACAAAATAAAACTATCATTTACAAAATGCTATTAAAACAGCGGACAGTGTAGCTATTTCTCTTCGCTTGCCGACGTCCATCGAACCGCATTCTCACCTAGATCCTGTAACCACAAAGAAAAATAATGGGGTGAGCACAACATAATGCTCAGTAAGTAAATCCTCTACTCGACTGTCCCCGTAACTCTTTCTCTTAATTCTTTCCTTACACTTTTTCTCATCTCATTTATTTTCTCTTTCACACAGCTCTCTTTCTTAACTTCTGCTATATGTCACGGCCTCATCTTACNTGCCCCTAAAATGCCTTTTTCCAATTTGTTCCGATTCTTAAAAACCGACTGAAACAAGTGTCTCCGAAATCTCTTGCACCATGCCTCATTCTAGCTAAAATGACCTTTATTTTGTCAAAAACTTCCCAACTTGACATGACTGTCACCCTTGCAGGGAAGTAGGGTACCTTCTCACTTATAGGCTCCAACTCGTAGTCTCTACAGTTTACGGTCCACACAATCTGCACAATCGATATAAACAAAATGTCAGCAACAAAAATAAACCAAAACAACTAATAAACAAAATATCAGCAACAAAAAATTACCACTGTAGTCGCTTAAGCGATTTCGGATCGCTTAAGAGATCTTGACTCTACCTCGTGCAAGATCGCTTAAGCGATCAGAAATCGCTTAAGCGACTAAGAGTAAACTGAGAATCTCTTAAGCGATACAAAAGATCGCTTATTATATCTATGATTCTGTCTCGACAAGATCGCTTAAGCGATCTGAAATAGCTTAAGCGACCAAGAGTAAACTGAATCAATCGCTTAAAAGCGATCCTTTGTATCGCTTAAGCGATCATGAGTGCGATCATGAGTAAAACAGATTAATTGCTTAAGCGATACAAATGATCGCTTAAGTGACAATACAAGCAATATTCCCAATCAACGTACTCTTTCTTCGCCGGCCTCCTCCTCGTCGCCTGAATCCTCGGATGACTCCTCATGGCCTGAATTCTCGTCGGAATCCTCCTCCTGGCCTGAATCCTCACCTGACTCCTCGTCTTCAAAACCGTTTGTCAGTTCTTCCCTCTGTTCGTGTGCCGCCGGCGTCTCCTCTGCATGTGGACCACCTTCACTGATCGGATGATCCACCGGAGCAGCCATTGAACTGCTTGCTCCACCAGAATCTAGGATTCGAAGTGGCGTTGGGTTTTCCTCCTCATTGTGAGTGTCAGCCATGGTTTTGGATTGAATTTGGTGTCAAAGTTTGCAGTTTCGATCAGAAATGTGGACTGTATCGCCAAAAATCGCACATATTCCGTTTAGGGTTAAGGAAATCAATTTTAGGGTTCAACAAATCGATCGGAAATCGCGACTATATCGTCAGAAATCGCGACTTTATTCAGTTTAGGGTTTAAGAAATTGATTTAGGGTGCAAATTTACAGGTGTTCGATCGGAAAAAATCGCATCTCCCTTTCATTCAAGATATCGCTTGTTGCCCTAATGAATTTCGATTAAGTGAGGTGAATAGTGGGGCTTGTTTTGAGAAATTTCAAATTTTAAAAACCTTCATTATTTCTGATTCGGCCCACATATGTTTTAATCTTTTCATTTTAACCCATTTTACGTGTTTAATTAATCCTAACTATGCCACGTCATCTTCTCTAAATTAAAAAAAAAATGAAAAACAGTTTCAAGGCCATTTTCTTAAATCGAAACTTGGGATGGCTGGGCAGCTAAATTTTCTCGTCAGTTTGCTCATACAAAAATCAGAGCCCACCACATCAATTTTGACTAGTTACAGATACAGTAACAAACAAAAATGGGAAAAAGCATTTGACATTACGCACTGAACGTGGGGCATTTTATTAAAACACCATTTTAACTTAAAATTTAATTAAAAGGCTATAGAGTTTGTAAATTTTAACTAAATGGCCTTGTTTTTTATTAAGCTTAATTAAACATAATTAGGGGGTTAATTAGGATTAATGAATAATTGTGTAATCTTTTAAAAATTATAATAAGTCTCCAAAGAGTCAAAAATCTTGCAAACAAACCCAAACACCTTCTTCTTCTTCCTCCCACCATTAACGCATCCTTCCCCTGGTTGTTGTTTCTTCTAAGCTTTGTCTACATCTTCTTCTTCGTCTACATCTTCTTCCTCCTGTACATCTTCTTCTTCCTCCGCCATTAACATTTTCTTCTTCCTCCACCATTAACACCTTCTTCTTCCTCCACCATTAACACCTTCTTCTTCCTCCGCCATTAACATCTTCTTCGCCAAAGATCTGCCTCTTCCTACTCCTAACATTTCGTCCAGGGATGTAAATCTCCTCTTTGCATTTTATATTTCTATTTACAAAGATTTAATGATGGATTGGGTTTGGGTTATGATTTTGATTTAGTGGTTTAGGTTCTTGGGTTGTGTTTGATGTAATGTAAGTTAAAAGGGGTGAGATTTGTTGATGATTTTCTTGCATTGTGCGTAGCTGCGGGTGGTAGCACCGATTATAGGTGAAGACGATTGAAAATGTATTCTGGAGTTAATGGATCGCTTAAGCGATCTGGTATATTGCTTAAGCGATCTAGTATATCGCTTAAGTGATCTGGTATAAGTCTAGTATATAGCAGCAGATTGCTTAAGCGATCTGGTATAAGTCTGGCATATGGCAGCAGATCGTTTAAGCAATTAGGTATACGGCAGTAGATCGCTTAAGTGATCAGGCTTATTTATACCAGATCGCTTAAGCGATATACCCAAGTAAGCGATACACCAGATCGCTTAAGCGACTCTACAAATGTTTTTTAAAATCTATCTAACCCTTAATAAATCGATTAATAACTTATTAGCGATCGCTTAGCGAATCTTTTGATATTGTGAACGTTTGACTAAGAAATTATATTCCGTAACGTTTATTTAATATTCAGTCATTTTTTATTAATTATTTATTATTATTAATTTTCTTTTTCAATTCAATAGAATGTGAAAAGAATACTTCGGTCTTTGTCGATCAACACCATACATAAAACTGAAAGATCTATTGTTATTCTATTATTTTTGTTAGTTCTTGGCAAGAAAGTAATATATAAAAAATATAATATTGATATAAAATTGAACTCTACAACCATCTGCTATGCACACTGTAGACCAAGACTAAATAGATGGGATCGCTTAAGCGATTAAGGGTAATTTACTTCAATATTTCTTTTCCATGTTTATGGACATATGTTTAATATAGACGTAAAAGAACTAATTTAATTAAAATATAATAATGGTCATAGTCTATTGAACAAATCGTACACCTGATATGTTTAATATAGACGTAAACATTCTACACCATATATGTTTAATATAGCCGTAAAAGAACTAATTTAATTAAAATATAATAATGGTCATGGTCCACTGAATGAATCGTACACCTTATATGTCTAAGATAATGTTAATCGCTTAACCAATCTAGTGAAATACAATAAAAATAATCCAAATACACTGGATCGCTTAAGAGATTTCATTTCTCACTTAAGCGATCCTGTGTATTTAGACTTAGTCGCTTAAGAGATCTAGTTGTATTTATGTTATCGCTTAAGCGATTCTACGCTTTTACACGTGATCGCTTAAGCGATCACGAACAAGACAAAATCAATAAGTGCCCAGACGCACGATCGCTTAAGCGGTCTTTGCTTTTAACCTTGGTTGCTTAAGCAATCATGTCCGAGGCAGAATAAATTTCTGCCTAGATGCACAATCGCTTAAGCGATTAAGTGTATCGCTTAAGCGATTCTTTACTTTTTCTATTGGTCGCTTAAGCGATCATGAACAAGAAAATAAATAAGTGCCTAGACGCAGGATCGCTTAAGCGATTCTTCGCTTTTACTGTTGGTCGCTTAAGCGATCATGAACAAGAAATAAATAAGTGTCCAGACACATGATCGCTTAAGCAATCCTTTGCTTTTAACGTTGATCACTTTAAGCGATTTATAATCGCTTAAGCAATCATGTCTGAGGCAGAATCAACTTCTGCCTAGATGCACGATCGCTTAAGCGATCCTTTGCTTTTACTCTTGGTCGCTTAAGTGATTTTAGATCGCTTAAGCAATCATGTCCGACGCTTGGAATTTGCGTCGGCATCCTCCTCTTCAGTTTCAATTTCAACTTTTGCCCTCCCTTGTTCCGTCAATAGAATGTCTTCCGTCGACGCCATCTCCTCTCCTAGTGGAGCAACTTCAGTCATTGGAAGTTACTCCGCCACAACTTCTTCTTCTCCATTTTTGGTAGACCCAGTGGTGCCTACAATTTGGGGAGTAGATGGGTTTTTTTCTGTTTCTTTAAGGATCTCAGCCATTATAACTTAATCGGGAATGGTAAGGAATGACAAAAATGCAAAGAGCAAAGAAATTGAGAAATTGCAGAAAATTGGAAGAAAAAAACGAGAGAGAGAAAGGTGTTTGAATCCTGTTGTGAGAAAGAGAAGCTGAGAGAAATGTGTTTTGCCTTTCAAATTTTAAATCAACTTCTCTTTATTATACTCTAACCCACAAATATTTAAATCTTTTCACTCTAATCGTTTTTGCTGCTTTAATTACACTTAAGCGTGCCACGTCATATTTTTTAACCCAAAAAAAAAGTCAAAAAGATTTTCATGGCCATTTTGTTAAATGGAAACTTGGGAGGGCCGGCTAGCCAAATTTTCTCCACTGAACGTGCCCCGAACAATCACCGCCTTCAACCTTCTTCTTTAATTTTCAGATCTGCATAAACATAGCAGAAATGGACACTCTAGACTCCGTCATGCCGTCATGGATCCTCTCAGAGAATTCTCCAAGGGCAGCGTCCGCTTCGTCAAGCGTTGCCACAAGCCTGATCGCAAAGGTCTATTTATTTATTTCTTTACTTATATGTGTATATTTATTTGGTTTATGTTTTTGTAGTTCTGAAATTAGGGTTTTGTTTTGGTGTGTAGAATTCAGTAAAGTCGCGTTCCGTACCGCCATTGGATTCGTGGTGATGGGATTTGTTGGATTTTTCGTTAAAATGATCTTCATTCCCATTAACAACATCGTCGTTGGTTCTGCTTAGGTAATTCTTCCTATTTTTATCTTCTTCTTTTTTACTTGTGTTCCTTTAATTAGGATTTACATGGTTGGTTGGATAATTGATGTGTCTATGATATTTGGATATGTTGAATTGGTTGACGTTTTGGTTCTGCTAATCTTAAGTTATTATAATTTTAATATTCTTAGATATAAGTTTTATGTCGATGGTGTTGGAGACTTGGAGTTATAGGTCTCTTTTGGGTTTCGATGATTTTGGGAATGGCAGGTAATTGTTAATGAAATCTTGGAAACCATCTTTATGGATGAAGTTGCCTAATGCAATTTCCACCCAGAGGGTACTGACTCAGTGAACAATGGGTGTTTTGTAATATTACCTGTCATGTCTTGTATATTACTAAATTGATTTCTTGTTACTATTCATATGTTATTTTAATTTGGCCATTGAAGGTTAGAAGGACATGCTTATTATAAGTATGCCATCCCTTGGTTATTTTTCTCTGAATATAATGTATTTTTGTTCCTGTGTCAAACTCGATTGTCAATTTATTAGTGGTATTGTTATTGAGGTGGAGTATCCAGGAATTGAAGGATACTTAGAGGTTTAGTTTTGTTAACCCACTAGTTATAAATTGGTTCTAGAAAAGATCGTGAATTCATTAATGGCTTTTCATCTCCTGTAAACAGACAGGAGTAAAATTCAAGTGCAAATGATTAGAGTCACCTGGAGATTTGATAATTATGGCATTGGTGGATTGATGTGGGCATTCCCACTTCAGCAACCAGATGTTATTGTAGTCATTGAAGGGTGATTGAACTTTAGTTTGAGCCACACCATTTATATCTTCCCTAGTGATGAAGAAAAGTAATTGCCTGATTTTCCTTGTCCTTGGGTCTTTTCTGCTGGTGATTTGATATTGTTGAGTTATGTCAAAACGGTTCAAGTTTCTTTACTAAATGTGTTTATTGGTAACTGAATTTGAAATTGATGGGATTTCTGTCCATGCTTTGATTTCACTGTCAGATTAACGGGAAGTTGTAGACAAAGCTTTCCGTTCTTTTCTTTTCCTTCTCACAAATGACAGCGTCAAAATTGTTTACTTGTAATCTTATTGGTATTACAATTAGACTGAGACTGGTTTTTGTTTACTTGCAAGCCTGGTTCGAAATTGAAGATAGCTAGGGGGATGGAATCAGTCCGGCCAATTACAACTTGTATCCAAAGAGGTGCTTAGCATAGAGCAAACATTTGACTTTTTTTCAGTTAAATGTATCAGTACTTTGAATGGACTTATAAACGCGGTTGAATGGAACATTTGGGATCTCTTTGAAGCTGTTTTATCTTGATGGTTGCAGGCAACAGTAGCATTAATTCATTTGTTTTTGCTCCATATACTTATCTGCTTTTAGTTTGGGCTATGATGGTACATTCAAGGAGGTAAAATATGAAGCTCAAGTTCAAGATCACTCGAAAAATTAGACCATTATTGAACTAGCTAGCTTGCCCCAAGAACCTGAATAAGTTGGTAACTCATTCGGAATTCAGTTGAGATTATTAGACAGATTAGAGAGTACTTTCTTATTATCAAATATTTACAAGAAATCGGTATTCAAATCTTTGAGTAAGATAGAAAGTTGAAATATATTTGAGCGTAAAGAACGTAATATAGAGAGTTTGGCCAAACGCATTTGGACAAATATTTTTACTTGCCAAAGCGAGTAAACGATTAGAGGGTACTCTCTTACTTAATGAAGTCATTTTTCAGCAAATGCATTTATATGTCTCTAAGGGGGCGTTTGGTTCAGGGAATGTTAGATTACTGGAAAGTTAGATTACCTTGAAGATTACTCGAAATCTTTAGGACAATGTGTTTGGTTAATTGGTGAGTATATTATATTAATATGTTTGGTTTGAAGGAATAAATTGGTGGGTATGTTATTTAAATTACTGAATTGTCCTCTAATTAAATATTATTATTATATTATTTTTTAATATTGATTATTATTTGGATTATATAACCCCTTGCATTTAAAAACTTAGCAAAAACAATCCTATAATAAAAGTTTCGAAAATCAATAAAGCACCCCCACGAACCCAGCCACTGTCGGCCGTCGGTAACCACTGCAGGCTGTCGGCAACCTAACGGCTCACGGAAGGTAGGAAATGGCCAGACGTGGCAGATCGATGACGGATCTGGCCATCAACGGCCCGATCGATGACGGATCTGATCGTCAACGGCCAGATTTGGCATGGCTTTCTATGCGCCGTTTCGACGGTGGCTGGTAGTCGCGGTGGTTGTCGACGGCAGGCGGCGACAGGTGGGTGAGATTGATGGCTTGGGTGAGCTACAATTTGTTTTGAATTCAAGGGTAATTTTGTCTAAAAAGTTAATTAATTGGGGTGAAATAGTAAAAACTATATTTATGTAAATAAATTTGAAAATAAGGGCATTATTGTCCTAAAATTTTATTAATAAGGAATAGAATTGTAACGAAAAAAGATAACTCTAGTAATCTTAGAATATCTAAGAAAATGAAGGTAATCATATTATCTCTTGTATTACCAATAGTAACCATTATGGGGGCGTTTGGATCATATAATGTTTTATTATAGAGGTATATTATATTAACGGAAAGAAATATCATCTTGAAGATTACTGAAATGTTTAGAAAATGTGTTTGGTTGGTTCTAATAAATTGGTGAATAATATGTTTGGTTGGGAGGATGAATAGATGATATGTTATATAGATTAGTAAATTGCTCTCTTTTTTAAATATTAATATAATAGTATTTTCTATTATTATTTTTTGAATTCTTTTAACCCTCTACATTTAAAATTTTGTTAAAACACCCTAGCTATATAAAACTTTAATTTATAGCAAAATCACCCCCACCTACCCCAAGCCACTGCCGGCAGCCAACCACCACTACCGGTCGTTGCTGACAGTCAACGGAATGGTGCACGATTGGCTGTATATGGTTGACCGTGCACCGGTAAGGCCGAAAATGGCCATGGATCATAAATCCATGGCCTTTTCACGGCCAGATCTATGGTCATTTCACGGTCAAAGATGTGGTTATGAAATGGCCATAGATCTGGTAGTGAAAAGGCCAGATCTTCAACCAAAGATCTTGTCTTTTCACGGCCAAATCTTTGGCCATGAAATGGCCATAGAAATGCCAGATTTGACCATTTCTTCTATGGCCATTTCTGACCATGGATCTGTGATCCATGGCCGAAAAAGGCCTTATCGACGTAAGACCGGTCAGATCCCGCCAGTCGTGTACCATTACGGCGATTGACACCGACATTCGATGGTGGTGAGTCATAGCCGGTGGTAGTCTTGGGTGGTTGGGGATATTTTGTTAACTTTTAAACTTTTTTTGTGGCTGGGGTTTTTTATCTAATTTCTCAAATGTAGGGGGATTGGGTCATTATTTTTTGGTAGACATTTGAAGGCAACTGTGTCCGAAATGGCTTTTAATTAAGGGTAAAATGGGAAGAAAAATCATATTACTCCGGTAATGTTTTAATAACAGCTTCTAGCAAAATAATAAGATTACCCCCTACATTACCAACAGTAATCACTATTTACAATAAAAGATTACGGTAATATTTTATTACTTACAAACCAAACACATGAATCTTACAAAATAAACGAATATTATCCCATTATCTTATTTACCTCTGATCCAAACGGTTTAAAAATTACTGGTATCTTATATTACTTGATAATTAAACATGATAATTAAATAATATAAGGTAACTTAACCCCAATAATTTCACATAACCGCAACCAAATATCCCCTAATAGTGTTGTAATATTACATAAACAAACAAGCAGTGTCACATGATCGCTGGTAAAATATATAATAATAATAATAATAATAAAAAAATACAGAAGAGGATAAATATGGCTTGGTCTGATACGAATCTTAAGTAATTAAAAATGAGCAAAAAGACATAACAGTCTACAATACTAGATAAATAAACCACACAACTTTCAATTTCCATGCTTACCCAAAAAAGACAAACAAATTCTTAGGGATAATATCGTAAATCTAAGTTATTTTCTCCCAATTGAATCTATTTTAAAGGATTCGTGGCCACCCTGAAAACTCCCTCTCTCGCCACACACACAAAACCCCTCCAATTGCAGCAGCCTCCCTTGTCTTGTGCCTGTATTCTACAATGGCGGCTTCTCCTTCCGCCACTCGCGCCGCTTTCATCAAACCCTCATCGTTCATCTCCTCCACTACCACTAACAATAACAAATCTTCATTACCCGTTTCAAGATCCATTCTCCCCGTTTCTTATACCCGCCAAAACCCCTCTCTCCACATCACAAACTCTGTCCCCAAACCCTTCGCCACTTCAGCTTCCACCACAACCCCAACACCGACAACAACAATCCCATTAACAAAACTTCCTCCCAGATTTTCGCCCGATGAACCCCGCAAGGGTGCCGACATCCTTGTTGAAGCTCTCGAACGCGAGGGTGTCACTGATGTCTTCGCTTACCCTGGTGGGGCTTCAATGGAGATCCATCAAGCTCTCACGCGCTCTAATATCATTCGGAACGTTCTCCCTCGCCACGAGCAAGGTGGAGTCTTTGCTGCTGAGGGGTACGCGCGTTCCTCAGGAAAACCTGGAGTTTGTATTGCCACGTCAGGACCCGGTGCCACCAATTTAGTGAGCGGACTCGCTGACGCGCTTCTCGATAGCGTTCCGGTGGTAGCAATCACTGGCCAGGTGCCACGTAGGATGATCGGTACGGACGCGTTTCAAGAGACCCCAATTGTGGAGGTAACTCGGTCTATTACAAAACATAATTATCTTGTGCTTGATGTTGATGACATTCCTAGGATTGTTAGTGAGGCATTTTTCTTAGCAACCTCGGGTCGGCCCGGCCCGGTTTTGATTGACGTACCCAAAGATATTCAACAACAGTTGGCGGTTCCTAATTGGAACCAACAAATTAGATTGCCTGGTTATACGTCTAGATTGCCTAAAGACCCCAATGAGGAACTGTTGGAGCAGATTGTGAGGTTGGTATCGGAGTCGCAGAAACCAGTGTTGTATGTTGGTGGTGGGTGTTTGAATTCTAGTGAGGAGTTAAGGAGGTTTGTTGAACTCACGGGGATACCTGTAGCTAGTACTTTGATGGGTCTGGGTTCATATCCTAGTTCTGACAAGTTATCATTGCAAATGCTTGGAATGCATGGGACTGTTTATGCTAATTATGCTGTAGATAAAAGTGATTTGTTGCTTGCATTTGGGGTTAGGTTTGATGACCGGGTGACAGGGAAGCTTGAGGCTTTTGCTGGCCGAGCCAAGATTGTTCACATTGATATTGATTCAGCTGAGATTGGCAAGAATAAGCAGCCTCACTTGTCAGTCTGTGGAGATGTGAAGTTGGCGTTAAAGGGAATAAACAAGTTGTTGGAGAGTAAAGCTGGTAGTGTTAAGTTTGATTTTTCGGCTTGGAGGGAGGAGCTTGATGAGCAGAAAGCAAAATACCCATTGAGTTTTAAGACGTTTGAGGAAGCGATTCCTCCACAGTATGCAATTCAGGTTCTTGATGAGTTAACTGATGGAAACGCAATTATTAGTACTGGTGTCGGGCAGCATCAGATGTGGGCTGCTCAGTTTTACAAGTATAAGAGACCTCGCCAGTGGTTAACATCTGGAGGACTAGGAGCTATGGGTTTTGGATTGCCTGCTGCTATTGGAGCTGCTGTTGCAAACCCTGGTGCAGTTGTGGTAGATATTGATGGTGATGGGAGTTTTATTATGAATGTCCAGGAACTGGCAACTATCAAGGTAGAGAATCTCCCCATTAAGATAATGCTGTTGAATAATCAGCACTTGGGCATGGTGGTGCAATGGGAGGATAGGTTTTACAAGGCAAACAGGGCTCATACATATCTGGGAGATCCATCAAGAGAGTCAGAAATATTCCCAAATATGTTGAAGTTTGCAGAAGCCTGTTGAATCCCTGCAGCACGTGTCACAAGGAAGGAAGATCTTAGAGCTGCAATTCAGACAATGTTGGACACTCCTGGACCATACCTTCTGGATGTTATTGTTCCCCATCAAGAGCATGTCCTTCCTATGATTCCCAGCGGTGGAGCCTTTAAAGATGTGATCACAGAAGGTGATGGGAGAAGAAAGTATTGATCACAGAAGCGGCAAATCTGTTTCTTTGGCAATGTATTATGTTTTGAGGAATTGTAGGCTTAGCATGAGTGGCACTCTTTTCATCTTGCATGTTAGTATTAAAGGACTAATGTTTGTTTTATGGACAAACTGGGCAAACTGTACTTGCTTCTCTATAATTATTAGTTTGTTTATGTATCTAGTAGTTTGTTCTATTTGTTTTTTTCTCTCCCATTTAATGTTGTATTTTCTCCAAATTGAGATGCTCTCTTTTCCCATGTAGACAGTATAAGCGGTACATTAATCTCATACATAAAGGATCCAGCAAGGTAAACGAGATGCAAGTCTTTGATGATAATATTTTGCATGGACTGGATCAATAAGTTTTAATGTTCTTTAAATTGAATGATTCAGTGCTGCGTATAATTGGGGCCATAGGTTATATGTTCTTTAAATTGAATGCCTCAGTGCTGCTTATAATTGGGGCCATAGGTTATCTTCTCTGTTTTTCAATTGTTACAGGTTTTATTTATATGATCTTTAATTAATTGCAATTAATGCAACGATTATTAGCTAGAGAAGACCAAATTACTATGAAGAATGAGCTTCCGACATTTGAGGACAACTTTACTCCCTACTCTCATTAAGATATTGTAACGCCATTTTCCTTGAAAATTGATTACATGTTGTCGATTAGGATTCTATTTTCTCTGAAAGATTATTCATTTCATTAGCAAAACTAATATTTACTCTCTTGGATCTCCAAAATTCAAATATGTTTTCAACAAAGTTTAAACACATTAAACATACTTATGTATAAGCACACCCCTTGTCACTTATTGGCCTGAGTTGAAATTTTTGTTGAAGTATCAAAGGATTTCCTCCTGATGAGAAGACAAGTGATCCTTGAAGGCTGTGCATGTGTATTTTCAATACTACATAACACAAAATCAGGCCTGTGAAGCGCAAGATTTAGCCGATCCTTCCCAACAACAAATGCAGTGGCGTCAAGCAGAACATGCCATGAGTTCCTGTGAGCTTCTGAAACCCAATGCATTGAATAACGTGTCCCATTGACATCAGCTGGATATGAGAATAACCCTTTTGGGGTGTGCTTGCATTTTCTCCTAAAATACTGGCTAAGCTGTGATCCCTTGATCCTCAAGTCCAACCATGTCTCTGGTGCCAATATAACTTTTGATTCTTTGAAACTGGCAAATTCTCTTACGTAATCCATTTCTTCACCAATAATGCTCATGTAGAAGTTACCTCTGAAGAAAGGGTAGCTTTCCCCAACTAACATCATTGCATCCTTGTGGTTTGGAGTGAAAAGAACAAGATACTCACTATCAGGTAATCCACAATGATTCAAAACTTTGTTTCGAGCTTGGATTTCAGGAATTGAGATGAAACTTCCAGGAAAAGAGGATTTCTTGGTGAGTATATCTAGCAATCTTGATGGCTCCAACTGGGTTCTGTCTAAATCAGGGAGATTGCTCCCAGAGGAGGGTGTGGAGGGATCTCTAAAACCACCACTTCTAGGCGACTTTCGCTTGTCTTCAGGAGCGATTTCTGAGGTCTCTTCACTGATACAAAGACTAGAGAGATCTACTTTTTCTCCTTCAACAAGGCCAGCATATTGAGGGTACTTTGCCAAGACATATTGTTCAACATATTGCATTTCTGTTGGTGTGATTGGACCTGACCATCTGAGGTCAAGTCCATGGAGTGTTGATATGGCTTCAGCTACGATATGTGCAGGAATAACAGTATGTGCTTTCTGTTTAATCAAAATTATTAATTAGAGACAGAAATTTGGAGGAACTCATAAAACGAGAAATCAATTGAAGCTGAAATTTGTACCTTGATAACCATACTGCTTGCTCTGCCATTTTCTATCGGTGATTTGGGAACAGAAGCAAAAAGGGATCCTTTATATTCACCGTCCGTCAAGTCCTAAACAGTCAAAGTTTCAATCAGAATTTCTGAAGCTTTTGCGATGATAACTTTGTAAAAACAGCCTCTAAATCAAGTATGATCAGTGATATTGAATTTTAAATTGATACCTTAGATCCAGCATGTGAAACAATCTGCTCCGCAGTGTTCCTCCCCATAATTCTAATTATCTGCACCTCTCATAAACATACAAAATAGGTTTGTTTATGAGCCAATAACCGATAATTCGGGCAGGTATAATGAATAAGAGACAATATTTGGGAGGAAAAACAGAGGTATGTATGCTGAAAATACCCTGCCAAAACACCTCTGAAAGTGCTCTTTGTACAGAAGTGTGTCCAAACCCACAAGACGTTCCAGGCAATTAAGCTATATATAAGTGATGAAGATAATGGAACCCAGAAAAAGCAGAAAGGTAAAATCAAGCTAAAACTATCAAATAATTCTTCAAGTTAATTTGAACAGTTGAACACAAGTTGGCATACTGAATATAAACTAGAGAAGCTACTCGAAGGAAGAAATAGGTGGAATGGATGAAAAAATAGAGGCAGGTGTGAAGAGAAGACCGAGCCAAACTAAAACAATTCTTGTTGCAGATGTGGAAATCTAAAGTAAGATATTAAAGAAATCAAGAGAAAACACGCCGACTATGACAAAAGCAATGCTCTGAAACAGGGAACCTTGAAACATTATAACCATTTGAACACGGTAACCATGGTTGAGAGATTTTCTTCAACAAGAATACGAGTGGCTTGATTATTAGATTAGAAATTAAACTATTGTTAAACTCTATCAATCCGACTAAGCAATAGTTGGACTAAACTTGAATTATTTAGTCCTATAATGAAATGGCAACAAACCTCATAATATATTAAATTGTGAATTTAACGTCAGCCTGTGAATTAAAAATCTTGATAGGAAAGCGACTTGGATAGTATATTGGTTGAAATGTAGAAAGTACAGATGGGAATTGGAATCACGAGGCTGATGACTAGGCTTGGAGTCTACTGCAGCCAAGCTTGGAATATGATCTTCTTCAACAAATTAAAAACAGAGCGTAAATAAAAACAGACGAAACCATGACCCCATTTCCTACATTTACAATAGTGAAGAATGGAAAAGCTTTCTTAACCACCGCAAGTCCAACCCCTTCTTCAAGTTACCAATGGCAATCAGTGACCCACAAGGTAATGTCATTATTCGAGGGAATAGCAACAGAAAAATGTTATCATTCTGATTTCTGATATCATAATATATTTCCTTATTAAAGGTCATAAAAGACATGATTTTAATATGTTTCTTCAGTATTAAAAAAAAAAAAAAATGATTTATATTGTTTCGGTATAAACAATGTGTTGGAGGAGAATGAGAAAGGAATGATGCCGTTCAAAGATACCACCAACAAAAGATAACATGTAGACAAGGTGATGAAAACAACATTATTTTTATGAGCAAATTGCTTGTAGGATGATATTTAACAATTATATTATTGCATCACTAATATTAGTGGGAAAGGTTGAACCTAAGTGCTTGATATTTGTATTATTTTAAACATGGTTATTAGCTGTGCCTCTCAATCGGAGTAAATATTATTAAGTCTTTAAACAAAGTCCGTCCCGCTGTTGAAGTTTTCGGCTCGCGGCTTTCGGGGAAACTCCCTACTCCTCCATAGTTACCCCTTGAAAAGGACTGAAATACTTAAATAAATTTCTTTGTTTCCGTTTCTCATTGACTAACCCTTGTATTTCGTTATCTTGAATGGGGGTGATTATCACAGTCCCTCTAAATTTTAAATAAATTCAATATTTTAGAAAACTATGCTCCCCTTCCCATGGGGATTTTAATAATTCTTTACCAAACACTGGCTATCCTACGTATTTGTTTCTGTCATTGATTTTTTTTTTTTTTTTTTTTCAAATATCGTGAAAACACCCCTGCACCACGCTTCCCTTTATGCTTATTTATTGAAAATCAAGTTTAAACAGATAGATCTGCTTTTAAATATGAAAGCTCCTTTTTACCACCCATAAATATTGGTATAGTCTTCTCAACAACTACGCAACCAGCTGAATTGGAACATTCCCAACTGATTTGAACTGTTACTTGCTCTCTCATTCTATTCTAAGATTGGGACCTTGGTTTGTTACTTAATGCATTAATTATAGTCTTTAGTATCCACCAAACTAAGGTTCCGGTAAGCCTCCTTATTTCCAAACTACTTTGGACTAGATTCTAATGATACAGGGCTGCATGATAGTTTGTATTCATAGGTTCTTGAAGGTATAACATGAGGTCGGTGAGACGGTTGGATTGTATTGGATTACCTGACCCTCATATCCATAAGTCCTAGCAGTGGAGATATTGCTTGTGTTCAATTATTTCTTTGATATGTGATCTAATTAGATCTCAAAGGGATATATTTAGACCATTTGATGGGTCTACCTAGTCACCCTCAATCTCTTGGTGAGCAGAAACAGGAAAATCAATTAATTTGAGAACAAATCATTTCTCTAGCAGCTATTGAGGGTTGGATATCACTCGTAACAATTATTTATCTTTTGAATTCTGAAAAAAACCCACTGTTTTATTGACTGGCATTTCAGTCGCTAGGTTTTGAAAATAAGCTAATAGGAGTTTGGCATGTAGCATATGAACATCAATTCCCAGTTCCCATCAGTACCCGAAATCATTCATAAAAGTCAAAATTAATTGAATATGACAAAGCAACTACTCATTAGCCTTCTTCAACAACACTCATACGCACCAAACGAGCTTAAAACAGAAAAAAAAAAAAAATATATAAGTGAAGCGATGAAGCTATCTGCTGAAAGTTCCTATACCCAACCTTTCATCAAAAGGTGCACTGATTGGCGTATTTGATTTCTAAAAGAAAATACAACAACCGCAACTATTAGGCAACAAACGGACAGCTCAATAAAAGAAACATGTCTCTTCAAAAAAAAGCAAAACCTTTTCTTCTTTCTCACTCAAGAAAATACTAAAAAGACTTAACATAATAACAACCATTTCAATGAAAACCTCACTATTACCTTTGAGAAGGATGGGATAGTAGTGTGCTTGTAGAAGTACTGGAAACAAAGATCGCAGAAGAAAATGCCCCCTGAAGTACCCTCTTGCCGTCCCCTTCTATGTCCTCTTGTTAATTCTTCATCTCTACCTTCCCCTATAAAACACAAATATCGCCGAGGAACTAGGAGTAAGATGATGAATCCTGGAAAGAATATTATCCCTCTTCTTATTTTCATCTTAACAACCCTCTCCATCCTCAGACTTCTTAAACTTGCCATCTTTTCAGCTCCTTCACCACCTTTCTCTTCTTCGCTGCCACCTCAACAATCTCCTTCACCGCCTTTCTCTTCTTCGCCCTCACCACAACAAAATACATGCTCCTCTCCAGCATGCAGTAATACTCCATCACACCCACTAGAAACCTCAATAAGTCCACCTAAAACTTCTTCTGTTAATGCAACCACCCTCACAAAAAAGGAATTCAAACTTCTATCAGATCTCATTAAGCGTAAAGCACCTTGCAACCTACTTATTTTTGGGCTGGAACCCCAGTACATAAAGCTCTCAAAAATGAATGCAGGAGGGATCACCATTTTTCTAGAGGATGACTCAAAGAAGATAAGTGCAATCAAAAGTAAGTCCAAGAGAACTGAAATCTATAAGGTTGAATACTCGATACCTGCAAAAGATGCTTACAAGCTGCTTAAGCATGCAAGACAGAACCCAGATTGTGCACCCGGATCAGGACCCCTTCAAGCGTCAAAATGTAAGCTGGCATTGAAAAATTTACCACAAGAAGTTTATAAACATAAATGGGATGTGGTGGTGGTGGATGGACCGAGCGGAGACGCACCAGAGGCACCAGGCAGAATGTCAACAATCTACATGTCTAGTATCATTGCTAGAGCTGGGAATGCGACAGATGTTTTAGTGCATGACATAGATCGAACGATTGAAAAATGGTTCTCTTGGGAGTTTCTGTGTGATGATAACTTGGTGTCTTCTAAAGGGAAATTGTGGAATTTTAGGATCGCAGATCAGTCAAAGTCTACAAGGTTTTGTTCCGCCAAAAAAATGGTGATAGAATAACGGCTTTCTTTCCGGGATGATCGCATGCGCACCAGAAAACCAGTTCATCCATTGATGAAAAATCTTTACCATAAACATTAGTCATTCAGTATTGGTACAAGACAAGAGCACCAGTTGAAAAGATAGTAACCATATCATAAACATACGAGTGTGTAAATAATGGAATGAGATTCTGTCTTAAATCCTTCTTATTCTTAGAAGTTTTAATTATTTTTACAGCGGTCAAGTGTCGAGTTGAGTTAAAATACCTATTGTTTATGTTTGTTACTAGAATGTAATAGATAATATTGAGAATGCCATAGTGCTATTCCTAAATCTCTCTTTTTACCAATTCGCCTGTAAGCATGCTTGACTGGACAAGCGCCAACATTTCTACGATAGAACAAGACAATTGCATCCTGGAAAATGTATCTAATATAAATTTAAAACTATTAAATCAGTGGACTTTCAACAATTAAACTTTGAAAATGGCAAATGTAAATTGAAATCTGTCACTTAAAATTTAAAAATAAGGGTCATTCATCCTGGCCCTTCAAAACATTAAAAATTGAAATTGTGTCATAGCTCACAATTTCAAGGTGCAAGTCAGGATAGAACAGCCATTTACATTACATTGGTTAGAAATGTTCAAAACGCCCCTTTCTTTTATACATCAAAAATATGGTAACAAGATGCATCTGAATAAACAACAGCTTTACTGCTCCTGTTTCATCCTATAATCAATAGCACTGACATCCTAATTCTGGATTGTGCCATTCACCACAATCACTTTTACGCCCCCAAAATTTTTCTTCTGTTGGATCTAAGACAAACTTGGATACCAGATAATAGTAGGAATACACAAGGAATCCTCCCGAAAAAGGAAATCATAAAAAACTCATCATTCATTCACACAAGGATCACCACCACAATCTTCGTTTGCATCTCTTCGCTGCAAGGAGAAATATAAAATGCGTGATCCTAGAAATTCATCACATAAACCCTAACCACAATTAAAAGTTAAAAGAAATACTCTCAATGCCAGAGTAAAGTACCATTGTCAACCATTTAATAAGCAGCAAGCTCTTACTAGGCATTTATACCCAAACTTTTGTCCACCTCACCAAAGCAAAGGAGGATTCGTTATAATTAATTCTAAACTGCAGGATGTGTTCATGGAACTCTATTGTTGAAAAGTCAAATTGCAATGATCAACAGAGGCCTCATCTACTGTTTCCTTAAGAAGTGGCAGTATGGGCACTCTCAGAATATATATGCAAGTGCCAGTACACATGCATCCATTTACAAACACCATCTAAAATTATCAAGTGACAAATTTACATATACAACACTAATTTCATATTTAATAAAAAAGCACATATCCAGAAATTGTGTTTAAGATTTTCTTGAATCTAAATTGTGGGCTAATAGCGGTATGAAATTAGATTTCAGTTAGATGTGCAGGAAACTAGTGAAGTTAATCACAAAACTGCTCCCTTACAGACGCAGAGACTCAAACTTCATAACAGCAGGATAACTAAGCAAAAGCAACCTCAAGAAAACTATAAACGAAGCATCCCATTATTCCCATATGGAGACTGGAATGTCAGGCAATGCAATTGAATATGGCAGCATGAAAAAATTAAAAAAAAAAAATCTATCATCAGAGCATAGGTGGAAAAGAAATTTACACCTTAATTAAAAAGCATATGGGGATGCAATGCTCACCATTCGTTTGCTGATATAAGGCTGAATCTTCATTGGCGTCTCAGTGTGATTTTGAGCTTTTGGTTGTTTTTGTTTCTCAATCTCAAATTCTTTTCTAGATTCCTTCCGAGTACCTGATTGCCATACTCTACCAAAATTAGGAAGCCAGTTAGAATCAAACTCACTCTTAGCAATCTCTCCTCTCTTCTCCATTTCCATCTCCATCTTTCTCTTTTCTGCCCAAGCAGCTCCCACCCTTTTTGGGTTCAACTTAGACTTCCCAGACTTATTGGAAGAAACGAAGCCACTAAAAACTTGTTTTAGCTGATCTCCTTCAGTTGCTTCAAGCCATGGAGGAGGTGCCCCAGAATGCACATTTCCTGCAGCCTCTTGTGGAGCCATAGAAGAAATTTGAGTTATATTCTGCAAACCTAAAGAGAAAAAATCACATGATGAAGAATTTAGATCATATCTAAACCATGACACCCAGGCATATATCTAAGAACTTTAAGCATAATTTGTTGTAAACTAAATATAAAGAAAACATGTCACTCAAGTAATTATGCAGATGGTAACTTATGTACCAGGAAAAATGACAAACAAGAAACTCAAATCAAAAGAAAGTGAAGTTTTCAAAGAGAATTACCCTGAGAATTGATCTCTCTATTAACAACTGTTTCATCTTGAGACACCTGATACACCTATGTGAAACATATTACTTACATTTGCAAGAAATCTTATAACAAATGTATACATAAACAGAAATTTGGTGAAAGGCAACCATGTAACTTTACATAAAAAAATAAAAAATAAAAAAAAGCAAGAAACTCGAGAACAGAAAAAGCTACCAACAGTTTAGCCAAAAAAAGTCACCAAGAAAGCATTGACACCCCAATTTTGGAGGAATAAAACACCCATACACACACAACAATAGTAATAAATTAAGCTCCAAAGGGAAAGAGTGTAGATGGACAAACTTACCTCTTCTCTACAAAGGTAGACATTGTCTGAGCAGTTTGTGCCATTACAAAGGTTATTCCTGTTAACTAGACGATGCAAACAATAGTAGATGGCAAAGACTACAATAAATAATCCAATTTCATGGAAGGAACATCACTTCAGCAACTAAAATAAAGAAAGAAGAATCAAATACAAAGATCTTGCTTACCCATCAAGCCATTTGAATTCCATAAAATTGAACCAGAGGAAGCATCTCCAAGCATGGAAGATGTAACAACATGCAGCCGCGAACCAATATTTGCAACTTCAGAGAGTCCAGAATGGGATACCTGATACTCATTTGTATGAAACTGTAAAGGTATAACACCACTTGAAATATTTGAATTAAGAGGGTGAATATTATTGTTTTCAAAGTTATTCATATTTTCAAAGCTGAGTTCATTGTGGATATCATTTGAAGGTCCAAAGAGTCGTCCCCGTGATCCTTCACCAGAGGGTGCAGCTCCAGTCTCCAATGATTTGCACTTCTTCTCCCACTACAATCACAAGAAACAGCTGCTCATTGCTATTTATGTATCTCCTAAAAGTATCCTCTACTTTCTTCTCACATTTAGCCCAAGAACAACCTAAAACAATCTTAATTGCAATCAAAGCAAACACTAACTATAAAGATGTGCCATAAATCAACCATGATGCAAAACACATTAAACCACCAGTGTTACTCCTTGTTTTACATTTTCATTATCGAATTTCCTTGTCTCTCGTTTTGGGCAGTCAAAAAATAAAATTGAATATTCTTGATGAAATTTTCACTTGTTTTCATCAGTTTCTTCAAAAGCCAGATAATTATATATAAATGATAAGATTTCGCATTGATCAGAAAATCAACAAGAATGTGGTGAATATTTTGAATAAGATGGTGAATAACGGAATACCTTCGCTAAATCAGTTTCCGAAATCCTAAAAGCATCCACGCGATCCATTCCACCGCCGTATTTCCACAAGAAGTGCTTCAACTTCTTCAAATGGTCCGCACTCGCTAGGTGATTAATTGCATTATCACTGATACAATAAAATCCAATAGAAATTTAAGTTATTTCACAAAGTGTTTTTTTTTTTTTTTTTTTTTAATTGTGGCATTGTGAGTGAAAATCATACCAAGCAAAGGAGCTGCCGAGCTCGTCGATATCGGAGTCGCAAAAAACGCACCAAAAGCGATTACGAAAGGCGTGTTCATTGCAGAAAATGGTAGGGTTCTTCAAGAAGAACCGAATTTCCGTGATTTTTGTTTTGAATTTAGAGAGAAAATTAGAAAGTGACTTCTTGTGGCTTGGGAAGTACTTGTGTCGCTGCCCTTCGTCGTGATTTCGGTTGCAAACTTTGCAGAACTCGAATTCGCTCTTCTTATTCTTCTTTGCATTCGTTGAATTTGATATCTTATTCGGATTAGGGTTAGGGTTTGGTTTCTTAGACTGTAGTTGATCCTCCATTACGGTACCGGCGAATTCTTTCTGGACTCTGGAGAGAGTAACGGGAGGAAATTTATAGTTTGGAAAAGACAAAAAAGAACAGTTCCAAATTACTAAACGCACCAGTGTTTTTGTACGACTCCCTAATCTATTCATGAGTAAACGACTTTTTCCCACCCAAGGTTTGCCTAAATAAATTTTTCTACCCAAAAGTTTCAAAATACAAATTTTCCATCCAAAGTTAATAGTTTGTTACTACCCAAAGTCAGTTTTGGAAATGAAAATTCTCTCCCATACCATCATTTAAACCTCTGGTATCTTATATACAAGACTCCTCTCACTCTAGCATCTAATATCTGGTCGATTCCCAGTCATCGTAAATCTAGAGTTTCATATTCTTAGTTGATTCTCGACTAATTTCAATTGTGAATATTCAATCAGTCATCACCATTCGATCCCCTGACCTCCACTACACAAAATCATTCTTACTCTAGCTCTTGGTAACTCGCTGAACACCAACTAAAAAAAGTGAAATGTATATTGGGTATTAACAGAATACAAACTTTGGATGGGAAAGGATTTGAAACTTTTTGGACTCTCTATTGAATAACCTCAAAATGCACCGCCTCTCCGTAATTTAAAAAGAAAAATTGCAAATGACGAAACGCACCTACATTTTTATATAACTCTATTCAAATAGCATCGAAACGAACCGCTTTTTCAAAATACGGAGAATAATTATGAATTACTAAGGCTTGTTAATATTTTGGATATTATTTTTGAAAAAATAAGAGTTAGGTGAAAATAACGAGGTATGATTTAAAAATTAATAAAAATACCTTCTAGGTTTGTTAATTTACTAAACACCCTTGTAATAAAAACATTAAAATTTACAAAAAAACACCCCCACCCACCCATTAAATACCGACAACCGGCCACCATCATCAGAGGATGGTCAGAGTCGTCGTATCGGCTCACGACCGATTGGATTTAGTCAGTTGTGTGCCTAGATAGCCTTTTTCAGCTAGATCCACAATGGATCTAGTTGAAAAAGGCCAGATCTAACCATGTTTGTTCGATGACCAAAGATATGTACGTCGTTGATGGTCAACGATGACCATCAACGACGACCATATCTTAGCTGTTGTTAACGTCCAGCTACGGCCAAAGATCAACGACTAGATCTTTGACCATAGATTTGGTTAAAAAATGATAGATTAGCTTACTATCGATCAGATCCAGCTAATAGTGCACCATTATACCAGATTTTAACCACCTTCTGGCGGTGGTAGCCGGAATCTAAAAAATGTGAATGGGTGAGAGTGTTTTTATTAATTTTTAAACTTTTTTAAGTTTTTTAATTAAATTAATAAATTTGGGATATTTAAAAATAATAAAATAAAATAAAATAGGATTTCCACGAAACAGATATGTATTTTAGATAGAATTGGGATAAAAATAATTAAACAAAGGACCCTAGTACTAATGGTTTCTTCAATCCATATTTCTTAGGCCTGGCCATTCCCAGTTCCCACACCTGCTTTCAATGATTAAGCCTCTGGCCCACTGCTAAATGGATAAATAACAGCAAATTTGACCAAAATGCAAAATCGAAGTACAGGTTAGCTGGGGTCATATTATGTGTTGACCACGATGCTTTGGAGATTACTAGTTAATATTTTAAAGGTTACCATTTACATATTACCCTATTGTGCAGCAAATAACAACATCTTCTTGATGAAGATGTTTGTTTGATATTTCAAAGAACAAATCTCGGTCGTTAGCTCTTGATAATATATATCCTGAATGAAAATGGGAAAAAAATATATATATATGAGCAACGTGGATGCTTTTAGTCTTTATCCTGGTAGCTTTTATATAATTTTTGAAAAAGATGAAAGAAAGTTTTCTCACGCCTAGTGTTAGCCGGGCAAGTCCTTTCACATGATGTGACTGTAGCAAGAGTTTGAGTCCCACCACCATGATCTCACAAAATTTCCAATCTTCAAAAGTAAGCTGCCTTTTATTCTTGTTTATAGTAATTAAAGACTTGACTATATATACAATCTTTAAAATCTAATAATTTCTTTGATATTTTTCATGCCTAGAAAGTAGAAAGAGATCGATGGCTTACAGTTTCATATTCCCTGCATGTTATGTAATGCCAATGCTGAAATGTTTCGTTATATGACATTATGAAATATGAACAGCACCAGTTTTGCCACTTCCTTCCAATTTCTATATTCCAGTACATTTTACTGTATAAGAATAATACATCCAATGATGAACTTATGCTAAAACAGAGAAATATATCTGGATAGAGTTGCATAGTTTTATCTCCAATAGCATCGAGAAATAGACATTTTATGTGCTGCCAGAATATATTGCTTTAGCTTTGTTATACATATTACTAAATTATTGAATCTCATGAGTACGATATTCGATTATTATAAAAGGTTGGAATTCATCATCCCCACGTAGAAAATTCCAACAGTGGGTTGATTACTCTCTTCATCTGTGGATCGGATGAACATGCAGCAATGGTCGGTTTCAAGAACAGGGAACTAGAGAAAAAGAATCGGCAAGAGGGACAGCATGATCCACTGAAGTATAATAATGTGGTGCGGTTTGGTGCTGTATAATTATTTGATTTAACATATCTTATATCAGATTCAAATAATAGTTATACTGTATCACTTCACAATAATATGCCGACAAATGTGAAAAGACAAATATTAAGGTTGTGTCATAATGACTACTTTGATGGTTTGGCAAGTCTGTCCTACATCTTTATCCTGCTTTTTAAGCTTTATAATGGAAGTGATTGCCTCTTGGATTTCTCTGTTGTTTTATAAATAATAGATCAAATTAATGGAATCATATTTTGAAAATTAAGCCTTTCATTAATAGGATCATTAGGTTTATTATTCTATATGCGCAATAATGCGACCCAGTTAGGAAACAAGGAGTACGCATCGCTTTATGTGAAGGCAAAAATTAGGCATCTATTTCTTTTACAGGAAAATCAAGTTACCATCACATAGCTGGCGTTTTCGTCTGCGGGAAATATAATTTAATTGGTACATTGAATAGTTGCATGTTCTTATGCTTTTCAGGAGAAAATGACTGTATTTTCCTGGACAAGAAACTACTTGTCGGCAAAACAACAAGCAAAGAAACATATTAGGATGGTATTAACGTTTTTCTCAGGTTAGAAAAGCAAGAAAAAGATATAATGTGGTTGGGAAATAGTGTTTTGATCTTTGATTAGGTGAAGCACTTAATAGGATTCTGGCAACCAAATAAAGAATCTACCAATCAGGCTATAATAATTAATTTGACGATGATCAGGATCACTTTTTTTTTTGGCTTTTTTGGCTTTTTTACCTCCCATGCTTCTTTGCTGTTTGCATAGGTACCTTTCAGGAGGGCCGGCCTAATGTTGAAACTTGGTGATCCTTTAGCCCCCACTAGATTATGTCTTGAGCTTGACCACACAAAAGAATCTAGTCAGTGTATTATTGAAGGTAGCCTTTACAGATTAACTGTATTCGAGAGTAATATGTTTGGAGTTAGGTTGCTGACAAATCAAGCTAATTCCATTCTCAAGACATCTTGAAAGGGAAGCACTGTTCATTGGCCCTGACTGATGGATGCTTTTAGAAGAGTCATACTATCCGAAAAAACGTTTCTTTTTTGTGTTGGATCCCGGACACAGATAGTGGGTGTTTGGTCTATTATAAGCAAAAGTTAAGAAGTTGAATACAAGTGGATACAGCTATCCTGTCTTGTTCTTGATGAATTACTTGCTTTTTGTTCTGATTCATTTGCCTTTCTATCAAAATCATGCTTCTCTACATGGCGATGGTGCCGTGGTGCATGTCAGTTGGGTTTTGACTCTTGACACCGAATTAATTGAGTCCTGATTATCAGTTTCAATATCATGCATGCTAAGATCAGTAAAACTCAAGTTAATTTTCAGGAACTTGGCTGAGTATTTGTATCAGGAGTAACTATAGCTTAACGGTCAAGGAGGTTTGTTCTATTCTTTAAGTTTATTGGTTCAAACTTTGAGATCACCTACCATAATAACATTATGACTTATCTGATTTTTTGAGCTCGTATGGTATTTAATGGATCTTATGGATTAGTTGAGGTGTGCAAACTGACCTAAGCATCCCGGTTACCAAAAAAAAAAAAAAGCTGATAAGTTACATTACACCAGTCGTGTACAATTAGTTAATTATCTTTAATCAACATTCTCCTTTTTTCGTGTACCAATCGTGATTGAAGTCTCAAGCTAACAGTTGTAATGCTTAAAAACTAAAGGGGTGGAGCCTTTCGGTCTATTGGCGTATGCATATCTAATTATATAGTGGGCTGCCGACTTGCCAACTTGGTATATTCTAGTATTCAATGAATCTGCTTGCTTTTAGTTTCTATACATGAAAGTTATTTTTAGCACCTCTTTTAGTACTATCAAAATAAAATTGTGGGGGTTTTATTTTGCTTAACATTAACAGATCAGATAAAGCAGCCAATCAGTCCTTGTAATTTTTCATGTACTTTAACATTCTAAGAATTAAACTAATATGAATCTACTAAAGTTTATTTTTCCAGCATGTGTTGTAATTATGAAGAGGGATAATTTATTGAGTTAAGACAGCTCTAAGGTCGTCTCTACATCCACACTGCTAATTGATACATTGTCGACATTAAGGCAAAGAGATTTTATTAATTTGGTAACTAGACTATTACCTTTTCTTCCATGGATAATAATAATAAGAAACAGAGCAAAAGTAATGCTGGTTATCAATTAATAAACTTCTAAATTCCGAGTCTTCTTTCTTTCTCTCTCTCTCTCGTTCGTTAAATGAGCACTGATACAGTTTGAAGATGAAACTAATATATATACAAGTGAAGCATTAAGAATGCATATATAAGAACACAAGATCAGTTTCTGCAATTAATCAAACTGTGTAAGAGAGGATTAATCATGAATTTTTGTTTTTAAACATAACTCATTCATCAAGAAGTTCTTTGCTTGGAGCAGTGACTCCAAAATCAAAATTAAATTCGAAGGCCTACCAGTGCCAGAAAATTTAATTTGCAAAGAAAAATGGCATTGAAACTCATTTATCATCATTAATTTGCAGTGATGATCAGACTCATTATCATCATTTACTGGGGCTGAGATGATCAGACTGTTCATCATCATTTGCTGGGATGATCAGACTGATACATGCAAAATTTTAAAACTTACCCCCTCTAATGTCAATGTATAATCATTATCTTTGAAATTTGAATAATAAATATATGCTTCAGGCTAGCAATATATATAGAGAAAGAGATCAATACATGTTTTTTTCATTCTAAACCTTGAATCATTGCCTACATGTACTTTTTCATCAGTTTTTTTTTCAAGTAAGTCATCATTTGGTTAATTAGCCAATTCATCATACAGATCATCGCAATAGAATTTACAATAAAAAAATGGGAAATCATTCATAATTTTATATATGCCACTTTAAAACTTTATTGTGTTCTTAATCATTCATTTCCCCCCTTCTGTTTACTAGAACCAAACAGCAGGAATCCAATACCCCAAATTTTCAATTTCAGTATTGAACAAGTTGATTTTGGAATATACTTAACTTGAAAGGGTTAATTCAGAGTAATAAAATTAGGGCCTAAACCTTTGCCTGCAAGACTGGCAAGTGATCTCCATGCACGTAGAATCTATCTGTTTAGTTGCTCTCTCCTTCATTCTTTCAGCTTTCTCCACTTCTTCTCTTGCCCTCTCCCACATTTGTCTTGCTCTTGCAAACTCAGATTGTGCAAGCTCCATCTCTCTCCTTGTAAGCTCTCTAACTCTTTCTGCATACGCCTTCTCAATAGCTGCCAGTCTAATTTGCTCCGCTGCCTGCCATTTCAACGACTCAACATCCACACAGCTACTTGTATCGCACTTATTAACATCACCAAACTCACAAATTTGACCGCTTAAAACACAGTTGGATGGTGGCTGGATAGGCCTTACACTTATTGATAGTTGTAAGTCAAGTGATGGGGCTTCAAACTGATTATGATGATGATGATGATGATCAGACACCATTGATCGATACCTGAAGGAAGAAGAATTTGATGGGTGTGATGACATGCGTGATGAAGAAGGTATTGAAACTGTAGGAAGAAGTTGGAGCTCTTTCTGATCTTCTTCTTCCATGGAAAAGAAATCAAAAAGAGGGTTAAGCTGAGTTGAGTAGTACAAAGGAACTCTGGTAACTAGGTTTGTGATGAAGGAGAATATGGGGTGGCAGACACTGCGGCCTATATATAAACAACTCTTGCATCTTCAAATTACATTTACACCCTTCGTTCCCATGCAAAATGACTTAACCAACTTTTATGCTATAAAAAGACTATACCAACCTTCTTCTTCTGCATGCTGCATGCATGGTGGGCTATATTAACTGAGTAAATGTGATTGGAATTAAAGGATGTTTTGGTAAAATCAACTAATAATCATGTTTTCAAAGGTGAAAATTCCGTTATAGATGAGCCAAAGCGTGGGAAAATAACGGATTACGTTATTGGATTATGAGTAGCTTTTTCTGTTTGTTGTCAAGTGTGTTTGCTTCTCTTTCTTATTTTTTTAATGCGATAACTTTATTCGCTTTTTTCTTTTTTCTTTTTAAGTTTAGCTGAAATATGTATAAAATATATCACAACAACTTATAGTTTCTGTACAACTCTTTTCTGGGATACAATATGTAATAATTTTAAAGGGATTTATGAGTTTTAAAATTGATAAGTTAATTAAATAAATATTTTTTTATTATTTTTATACTTATAAAATAAATAGAAACTTGTATAACAATAAAAGATTTAATCCCAATCCATAAAAATTTGATGATACGATTGATATATAAAATTGAAACTAAATTAAAATACAATAATACTAGATCCATAGTCTAATCTCATAACTTTCTTTTCACAATCTCGTCGTAATAGATCATTATTGATTAGTTTGTAAATGAATAAATGAGACCATTACAAGCAGACAAAACATATTTTACAAACTAACCAATAACAAATTATAATGTCATAGATTATGAGAAAATATTATAAGATTAGATTGTGAACTAAATATTACTCGTTAAAATATAGTAACCTTATAAGAGGTCTAATAAAGGATAGTTGAAATTGAGCCTTTTTTGGGGATGTGAGACGAAGGATATGGTGTGGGTGTGTAATAATTAGAGTGGCACGTGCGTTAGAGATTAAGAGAGGCTTTTTGTTTGGCTTTGGGTTATTATTATTTGCTTTGTTTTGCTTTATGGTAGGCCTAAGTTGTCGGGCCTCACCTTCAAAAAGCTCTTCACTTTCTAACTCAGCACCACACACTTACTCCAGATCGGCACGTGGGATGACCACACTGATGTGCCTGACCATGATTGTGGAAACTGACTCTGCCACTTGGACCGTTCATTTGTGGGTCCCTTTCGATAGACCTTTCCGCATCCTACATCTTGTGGGTCTCATTCATTATTTTCTATTCTATTTTTTCATACATTGGAAATATGTATTTGTTTTTATTATATCATCATCATTTTATCTTCAATCTCTGCCCTTGAAAATTACATTACATACTAATTATTTTCATTTTATTCATAAGTGTTTGTTTTTATTATGTAATTTTGTTTAATAATTAAGATATTAATGCTATAAAGGGTAGGTGCATGTGCAAGATTAATTAGATTTCTTGTCTAAATATGATATGTGTTGATTTTGCATCTTTTGACATAAAGGTGTCTGTGTTATATGATATGATATTTTATGACTAGTAGTGGCAGTGCATATAAACATTTAAGACAAGATAAATATGTTCTTAATATTTGTTTAGAATTTTTTGGGAAAACAAAAGATTCTGGTATGGTTCACAGAATATAATAATCATCTTGGATATTTTTAATATCAAAATTCAAATATGATTTTAAAATTAGCATCTTTTTTCAAGTCAAAAACTCCGGTTAAATAAATATTTATAAAATACATCCATGACCATGTTGTTTGGGAATATATATCTAAATTAAATAATATTACGAATAACATATATATATGATGTTCAAATTGTATTTGAACTTTGAAGCGTTATTTTCTAAAAGTAAAAACTACATTTTTTATTGTATTATAAAATATTTTATTTTTTAAATTAATATTTTAAAATCCAATATCTAAATTATTTATTCATACTTTAAGAAATTATGATAATTTTGAAAACTTGATAATTACATTTTTAATGCATTATTCAGTTTTAAATATAGATTATTCCAAATAAACTATTTTTTATCGAGATATGGGCGAAAAGGTTGAATAAAATGGTCCATTTATACGCCCACTCACTAGCAATTAATTTTAGTTTATATCCTTTTTTTTCAAACCCGCGCATTTTTTCGCGCGTGTTATTGACTCTCCCCACTTTCCTTTTTCATCGACTCTCCCCACTTTCCTTTTTAACTTTCCCGCTAGTTTTCCTAGAGGAAAATTTTGCCACTGATTTTCCCTCACTTTCTTACTCACTGAAACTCCATGAACTCTAGAGAACTCACTCTGGTTTCAACTGCCACAATCTTTGGTGCTTTAGCATCTGCACTCGCTTATCGTCTCTTATTCTCTAACCCTAAAAAATACTTCTCACGAATCGATGCTTCACGGAACGGCGACGTTGCCAAGAAATGCACTTCTCAGAGCCCTTTCGATCCCTCGAAACGCAAGGGGTTAGTAAAATGCCATCGCTAATTTGCTGTTCAGTTTAGTTTTTAGCAATTAAATTAACAAACTTAAACTTCTTTGAGCTTTGATTTATGTTTATTTATTTTTGTTAAATTCTAATATACTTGAATATAGTAACATCATAAAAACGTGAAATTTTAATAAGAGACCTGTGAACTTTGGTGCGGAACATGAAATTTATTGATATTGAGAATATAAGTTGTGAAACGGAAAGGGAGGACTTGGAAAAATATGACTAATTTGATGTTTGAAATAAATACAAACGAGTATTGTAGACTGACAGTAATCCTCTTTGTTTCATATATTGATTAATTTCAAACGAGTATTGTAGACTGACAGTAATCCTCTTTGTTTCATATATTGATTAATTTAAGATCAGGTATTTGACATGGGACGATTATTTTATGGCAATTGCATTTTTGTCAGCTGAAAGGTCCAAAGATCCAAACAGGCAGGTCATATCTTCACTCCTGAAAGTAGATCTTGCAGTCGGAGGCAATTATTGCTTTTACTCATTAATAATACGAAACCTAAATTGTATTTGTATGAGTTTGAAATCTTTTTTGGCAACTGCTGTTGACTTTTTAGGTTGGCGCATGCTTGGTTAGTCAAGATGGTATAATTCTTGGTAAGATGATTTTCCTGAAAATTTTTCATTTTAATACTTGTTTTGTAGTAATTCATTTGTCTTGCATTTGTTGCATGCTAAGGTTTGTTTCTAGATGTGGAGGGGAAAAGGAAGGCAAAGTGCTCTCTGTACTATATGTCAAACAGCCCAAGTAGTTCTCAGTGTCTGGGACTAGGCTTTACTGATGGGTTATACTGTACGTGAGGTTATACTGTACCTGAGGGGGCAGATAGGCTGGTGTATTATGCAGGTTTATTAAAATAAGATACTGTTTATTTCAGCAACAATTCCTCTCAGCAATCATCAATGAACTTGCTGTGAAGTTGCTTATGTATCATATACATTGGAAGTTTTTTTTTTTGGCAATATTTGCGTCATCTTAAGTTGCTTATGTACTTTCTGATTCTAACAGTTTATCCTTTGTTTATTTGAACATGAAGAAAGAATGCAAAAACTTCCTTTTTTCTTATTCTTTCTTCTGTACTGATTTCACTGGTACAACAGGCTTCAAGGAACCTTTTAACCAAGCCTACTAATGTGTGTGATTCTCATTATTTTCTTTTGGCTAGGCATTGGCTATAATGGATTTCCAAGGGGTTGTTCAGATGACAAGCTTCCTTGGGCAAAGGTTGGTGTTTGATAACAAGTGAATATCTTGTATAATCAAGGAATAATGAATAGTGAACTTGTCCTATTCTGTTTCAGAAATCCAAAACTGGGAATCCTTTGGAGACAAAGTATCCGTAAGTATTCTGCACTCAAGTACTCCACTTTTGACTTGCAACTTTCTGATGCTTTTTTCAAATGATAGGAGATACTGTTTATAATAATGTTCTGGTATATCTGGTCTCTCTCAGTACATTGATCAAATGCTCGTCTCCTTCCTGACAGTTTGTGTTATGCACTGCTTGTTCTTCATCTAGACTTTCATTAAGTTGTTGTCTTAGTTTCTATAATCCTGTCTATACATCTGACTATTTGCTCATATCACGAATTGTTTGTTGTAGTTATGTTTGTCATGCTGAAGTCAATGCCATCCTAAACACAAATCATGCATCAGCTGTTGGGCAGGTTTGTTGTTCACGTTTCTCATCATTTGTAGTTTGAATTTCATATATTCACTCTATGAAGTTGGTTAAGAAATATTTGGAATTTTGCTTATTATAACTCAAGAAATGTGGTTGAAGAAAAGGGGAGAAGCAAGTTTCCCATGTAAGAGGAAGTATAGAAACCACATATTAACAGAGTGGACTCTTTTTTTCTTTTTTTTTAAATCCCTAATATTCCTAATCTTTGACTAATTTTGTGCCTTTGCAGAGGCTTTATGTGACCATGTTCCCTTGCAATGAATGTGCTAAGATAATTATTCAGGTTTTGATGAGCATTTTCCTTTCTGCACTTATTACATGTTAACCATTTGCAGTATGAAATTTTTCTTTTTCTTGGAAACAAACTAGTTCAATAGCAACCCTTGCCAATGATAAAAGAGCACAAAAGCATTCAGCTTAAATGTGCCATAATAATGTTAAAGAACAAAATTATTCAGGGTAGACATAGGGTCCAGCGAGGGGAGAACAAAAGCATTCATGGTCACGCAGACCATAGCAAAGAGAGAATGCTTTGCTTTTTTTTTTTTTTTTTTCCCCATTTCTGACTGTAAAGGAGACCATTCTCTCTGACTGCAAAGGAAGTAGAACTGTGTTGCAACCTCTTTCTTTTTCATCATGATTTTAGTTTTAATTTTTTTCTTTTGATTTGCTTGAAACATTGGACAAAAATTTGTTTTGTCGAAGCACCAAAGATGGGTGCTGCTGAAAATCTAAACTAATTATCAAGTGATTGGCTGATAAGGATGCAGAAATCAGCTGATATGTACAGTAGCAAATTTGGGATTGAAACATATATCCTGACAGTAATTTTTGAATAAAATTTCTCAACTTATAGGCAATAAAATTCTTAGCAAAAATAAAAGTACTGTAGATTAAAAAAAAAAAAAAACCCAAAAGCAATTCATAATCATTAAACCCTCGATATTACATGGCTCCTAGCCCATCTGGATGATACTTAATATTGCTTTGTCCAAAATATTGACTGTTTGTGTCTTGCCTTTTTGTCTGCGCTAATGGTATTATAATTTATTTGTATCTTCTATTTTGCAGTCAGGTGTGTCTGAAGTTATATATTTTGTGGAGAAGAGGCTAAACAATTCAGACACTGCATACGTTGCGTCACACCAACTATTATCCATGGCTGGCATTAAAGTAAGCTCTCTACTTTTGATAACCACCTTCAAGCTTACTTGAAACAGATAATGTTGGATTAAATAAAGATTCCCTTTAGGTTAAGCGAGCAGTACTGAGTAAAATTTTACTGGTTAACCGGTAGTTAACAATTAGTTTGGTCGTATTTTGAATGAATGTTTTTACTTCCTGCAGGTCAGGAAACATCAGCCAAAAATGAACCAAATTTTGATCAAATTTGAGGAGCCATAGTATGATATAATGCGAATGTTGCGCATGTCTTTGCAGTTTAATGACTTCCTGGATAATAATCTCAGATGACCTGTAATTTCATATAATTTATTCCAACCTTCGCAAATTTGGTGGTCGTATCTTTTCCTAAAGGAGTTAAAATTTTCTTGCATGTTCTTAGTTTGATTGACTTTCTGGATAATAATCTCTACAAACCAAGGTTTATTCTTAATAACCCTGCAACCAAGATCTTTAAGTTTGGGTACTCTTGATTGGATGACTTAAGCCATTTCATTGCTAGCCACCACAGCTGTGCCTTTATTCTTCAAGTCTCTTCCGGGCAAGTGACAATGTTGGCATATCTCATGCTCATTGAAGCAAATAATCATGGTGACTGTTCGCTCCCAATTCATACATTCAGTACTAACAAGACAGTAACATTCATTCATCATTGCTGATAAATTTCAAGAGTTAAATAGGGAAAAAAAAAAAAAAGTTATGACCATGTAACAAAGCACGGTTTAAACCTATGCTCTAGTCTCTAGCAAGCACAAAATTTTGGGGCTGGCCATTTCCCGGTTTCCCCTTGTATAAATCCAATGCTACAAAATGAAGAATTATGGTATGGAGATCGTACATGTTAAGGGTAAACCCTAAATAGTTTTTAAAACAACAAAGTATGGTTGTATTGTATACTATAGCTTCACACCTGAGATCAAACTAAGACCGCATCATAGCCCACAAAGGGTACAGTTACAAGTGTAGATCCCCAAATGTTTCTGGCAGATTTTGACTGGATTAAAATTTTGATATTAATCAGCATTAAGGGCATCAAGTTGCCTCCGGAGAATTTCAAGGTCATCAACCGAAGTATCTGTTGATCCAGGAACAGAGGACTTTTGAAATTCATCTGCACTTGGGAGTTCACGAGTAAGACCTTCGGGAAGGGCATCTGAAAAAAGCAGGGGCAGATTAGGAAGAGGGAGGCAACTCAATTAAATAGATACTCCTTAAGGTTGCCAAGCACACAAGAAATTAACTGAAACTTAAAATCTCAATTAAGTAATAATATAGGGAATATCGAACAGCAAGTGTAAACAAGTTGCAGGAGTATAATGTCAACATAAGGTCAAGAAGTAAATTTTGCTGTACATAATCAGTTTTTTTAATAGCTGTTTTAATTGTATTATAATCTGTCCAGAGTGACACTCATAAGTCTGAGCTCGCAGGGGTTTAATCACCAGTTATTTTGCCTATTGTCGATGCAGAATCTTTAACCTAACTAGAAAAGAATGTTTTGAGTTTCCAATAGGAGTGAGCCACAGGCTTGGCAGATCCCTGGATCGGGGCTATAGCCACTTTTAACATGCACAGATTCTGCTAGGCACATTATGGTTGGTGGAGCTTAATTTATATATATTGAGAAATTTTTTAATAATTATGTACTCAAATCTCTAAGCAACTCAGCAACAAGAATTAAAAAGGAATGCCAGCAAAATAAAAACAAGGATACCTGCACTTGTGCCATCCATCCTATCCTGCTCGCTATCATCAACAATACTGAAGAAACGCAAAAAGAATATCAATGAACTTGGTACTTAAGGCCATGGGGAAAGCACTACGTAATAACAAAAGTTCACGACATTCTTAATATGTTTGGTTTCATCTAGTGAAACAGTGTTGCAAGTTCAGAATTCCAGTTGGAAAAGTGAACTATTCCCTTTTTCATTAAATGGAGATAATCCAGTAATTTACGTAGTTTATAATTTCTCTGAACATATCATAAAGAGAATATATATTAGTTTCCAGAATTTCTTGGTTATAAGGTAAATAAGGCATATGCCAATGCATGTTCCTGAGCTCCACCTTATGTTCCATTCATTATCAGCATGAAGTTGACATTCTGTTGCTGATAATGCTTCAGCCTCCATCTTGGCTTTAGCTGCAGCATCCCTGGCTGGCTTTGCCAGAATATATTCTTCCTACAAAGTAAATATAATTTCTACCATCAGAAGAGAAACTAAAAAACCTCAAATAGGTAAATTTATAAGATCAAACCCAGTTAAATAAAGGCTTGGATCCATACAATACCTGCCGCTCTAGACAAGCTGCATTTGAACATTGGGGATTGGGTTTCATTGCCATGGTTGGAAAATAATCTTTAAGGGAATTATATCCCTGCAATCAACAAATTAAACTGGAATGTTTATACTACTGCATCTGATAGAACCTTGTCAATTGCAAGAGCAGGGAAACTTGTGTGTCCATGTGAAGAGAAAAGAGTGATATAGGAGTTACCAAGTAAGGGGAAACATATCCAAAGTTCAGCAAAAACTTAAGTGTATTTTGAACTAGAAGCCCAGCAACAACTCCCTGAGGGAAAAAAAAAATTACAATAACAGGATATGAAAAGATAATAGCAGGAAATGAAAAATTGATGTAGGACTAAACAGTAAATAATTAACTTTATCGAAATCTTATTATAATGGAAACAAAAGTGTACTTAAACAAAATTATGACGTAAGTGACATATCAAGACAGTTACACCAATAGCATGTTGAGTGTATTTCTTAGTGATAAAATTGTCTGGTTCCTTCCACTTCAATACAATCACCATCACATCAGAGTAAATTACTACAATGGAGATAGCAGCGAAAAAGAGTTGGTGAAGGACATAAAAGATTACCATTGTAGTAGGTAAAGATGCGGCACAAACTCCCTCGCGCTTGAGCGTTCTTTCATCCACTCCAGATGCTACAACCTTTGAAAAGAAGATACACGTTCATATTTCACATTATGAAGTATAAAATACATTCTTTTTACATGGTACAAAACTTGTATGATTCAGGGAATCAATGTAGATGATAAACACACACACTGTATATTTCACAGCTAAAATAAGGCTATCAATTCTGCATTGAAGTTTCCTCCAGAGTCATAAAAAATCAGATAAACAAACATACCAAAGGCGGTGCACAAGCAAAACAGGCAGTTTCTCCAGGAATTAGTAATTGTATATGCCCAGAAACAGCATCCTCAGATACACCTGTACAGAATTGACCACTTCAATAAGTATTGATAAAGATCATTAGCATATGTCAAAGGTGTGCAACCCAATACAAAAATTAGGATAAAAGAAAGTCCACTTTTGACAAAGAAAACAAAATGCAAATGATCACTAAACTCCAAAGAGTAAGATGAAGATGAAAAAATTAAATATAAAAATAAAACCATCCAAATGCACATTCACAGTGCACATGTGTGGTCTGAGAGCTAGTGCATTTGATTAAATAAAAGTGACATGTCTCCAAAGATTATATGATGCCCTAAGATATCTGTTAGGATCCCACATTGGAAGGGAAAGGGGTGGTGGGCATATGGGCTATGAGGGCTTGGGCATCCTCCCTTGGCAAGCCGGTTTTCCAAGGGGAGTTCTACCCAAGCCCATGAAAGACCCATTGCCTAGCCCAATTGTTTGAGTTGTTGGGGTGGGTTCCTATCAATATCCCTTGTGAATGAGTGGCATAATCATATTTATCTATATATATTTGGAAACAAGGATATAAGGCAAGTCTGTTCCATCTCAAGTTTTTAAAGAACTAACTGCAAATAAATTTGCTCTTGATAAAATAAAATAACAAAGCAAGGACTACTTTGCTTACCAGACTCCATCCATGTCTGATTCAACTCATTGCACGCCTGCACATCCACAATAAAATTAGATACCAAGTCAAAAAAGAAAACAATAGGGAAAGGACTGATGTAACGATCATTCTTACCTGGTTTACAGCCATCCTTGCTTCATAATTATCTACACAGCTTAAGACCAGATCCACTCCAGTACCTTCTTTACTTGGACAAAATGATTTGTTTCTTAAACTTGACATAAAGGTATCAAAGCCTTGCACAGTTGTGATGTTTAGTGTGTAGCTCTAAGCAAAACAACGAACAAATCAACATGAGAGACTACTATCAGATTATAAAATTGTTTATTAAATAAACATCTAAATCTACAACTATTACTATATTGCTTTTGAGGAAACCCTACTCCCTTACCTTACAACTTCTCTCGATGTGCAAACAAAAATTTTATGCACCAGATTTGTAACCATTAACCCAAGCAACCATTAAATAAGTAAACACACAACAATGGCTCGAAAGTAAAAATAACAGAGGAAAAATGTACAAAATTATGAACTTCACATGTGTGATAAAGCTACAGAAATGCAAATTTATAAGCAAACACTTACTTCAAGCACAACATCAGGATTTATGTCTGAAAGGGTCTGAACAGCTGCATCAGTCTTTGTCATACCAACCTAGAAATGAAAATCAAATGATGTAATTAACAGAGAGTTGATCCCAAGACTGTCATCATATATAGACAATCATGATCTGCATAAGAAATATATTGGCATCAAGCTTATAATACATAATATATCCTGTTATATGTAAGAAGTGTGGATATATATGAGTATTACACCTGCTCTGGACGAAAAAATAGTCTATTCATATTAGCTAACTCCACTTTGTCATAATCGTACAATAAAAGACGACCTATGCCACACCTTGTGAGCATCTCAGCTGCAACACTTCCAACACCACCAACTCCCTGTAATTTCATGAAGATCACCAACAATAAATGCATTAGGCATTTGAAAAACACAGAAATTACAAACTACAACAAAACCAAAAAACTACAAATAGAGGTCTTATGCTCACAAATGCACATGTAAAATCTTTATTGTTCACTTTTCATAAGGAATTGAAAACAGATGAAAGAAAAATAAAAAAGGAGGGAAATAATACTGACAACTATGGCAACTGAGAACTCCCGTATTCTCTCATAGTTCTTAACAATGCCCATTCTTTGAAGTGCCATGAGCCTACTATAAGGGTTGCTATCTACCACCTCAGCACTCATATCCTGCCACAAACACACTTAAACGTGCATCAGTATAAAAATTAAACATCAAGTACAACTACAACATTGCACTAAATATAGAAGAAGAAGAGCCGGGATTCATGAGGGCAAAACCTTGACTTTTGAACGCCGAACAGGTACCGACTTTGCCATATTTGTGAGATTTTCGACACGCAATCGCAACTACAGACCAAAAAAAAAAAAAAAACTCATGCAGAGTGTTAAATACAAATTTCTCTTCTCTGTTCAAAAGTAAATTAAAAACAAGTTACATTACTCAATTTCCTCGCATTGCAATTAGTCTTTTAAACCAAAATTTGAATCTTATCTATCAAAACTTTACAATTCCAACCAAAAAAAAAAAAAAATCAACATAAGAGCATGTAAAAGATATTTAAATTTTCTTTTAAAAGAAATTAAGATCATGCAATTTCAAGTTCTACTTGAGAGTAGACATAATAAACATGCAGCGAACCTTTCGACAGAAAGTAAGAAAAAAAGAAAAAAGAAATAATTTGATAAATAGCGATCGCGAATGTAGTAGTGCATTTTATTAAAAGAATAAAAAATTTGAATCCAAATTGACTCATAATTCTGCTGTAAGAGTGGAAGATCCGAAATCGAAAATACCTTGTCGATTGAGGAGTGAAGAGAAGGATCAGGTAATGATTGCTTCAAAGATTCCAGATCTTCAATCATGTCCTTCAATTCAACCTCCATTTTTGCCCCTTTTCTTCTGGTTTTGCAGTATGTGTTTCTGTCTGTACACTTAATCACTTGTGTTGCTGAAGAAGTTGGAGTTGGGGTGGTAACGGAAGTGCATTGGGCGTCGTCTTGTGCTTTATGTTTTTGGGCCTTAGCCCAAGATGAATTATATTAGGCCTTAAATAAGCTCATGTTGGAGCCTGAAATCTATTGTGTTACAGTAGGCTTGGACGTAGGTTTTGATTTTAAGTACGAAACTCATAGTAATAGAAAAATGCCACGGACACCGGCACTTTGCACCAAATCTTTACACTGAATACTGTGTTCATTGAATTAGATGAGTTATGTATCACGTTAACAAATATTTTACGAATGAATGATCATCCATCAAATATGGACGATCGTTAATTTAAAATAGACTCACATCTATATTATATGGATGACCGTTCACCTAGAATGGATGTCCGTTTATAGTTTAAATTAAAAAAATTTGACCTAAATTATTTATGGATGCCCGTCCTCTTATGAGGACGACCATCCATAGTTATGGACAGTCGTCCTCATAAGAAGACGGGTGTCCATCTTTTAATATTAAAAAAATTTGAAAATAAAAAAAACAAAAAAAACAAAAATTGAGAATGGACTCCAGTCCACTCATTTGGATGGCCGTCCATTTATCCAAATAAGTGTACTGGCGTCCATTCTTAAATTTTTCTTTCGATGAAATGCTCAAACAATGTCCAATTGTGTGTCCATACTTTTACTTAAAATCATTTTTTTCTTTTATTTTATCTAAAAATAAATATTTCATCTTAAATTAAACAATGGATAGATGGATGCCTGTCCATTGAATGTAAAATTTTTTGGACGGACGTCCATCTTATATGGACGCCTGTCCATAGTAAATAGACACTCATTCATATAAGATGGACCGGCGTCCATTATTTTTCTTTTAAAAATTTTTGGACCGGCATCCATAAATATTGGATAACTGTTCATTTACAAAAGACTCTCACATGGTTATGTTTGACTGATTATCATGTCTTTTGATACAAAAATTTGATATAAAATTTCGATGTAGATATCATTACTTTAATATCTTACCCCAAAAAAAAAAAAAAAAAAAAGTACGAATAGTAATAGAGCTATATGGCTACATGCCCTCATGTGATAGTGTCTCATACTACGTGTCCCTATTATATACAAAGTCCTGATTTTCCCTCTCTGTACTGACCCTATTTTGTAATTAATTTCGTATGTTTACAAACAGTATCAAAGCAGTCAGCTGAGGGCAGCTAAAGAGTTGAAATCGTTTTTCTGATTCCATCAACCTTGTAGTGGTTAGCATTTCTTTGTCTGAGTAAATCTAGAAGTGGATGAAAGCGTTGAACTTACGCCTCTCCAAAGAATCAATCCATTTCCTACTTTTTATTAACCAACTTGTCTCTCTTTTTTTTTTATTTCCAGTTTTTTAATTTTCATTTCTCTACATATAACCTTAATAATCTTCTTTATCAAAACCCTCACCCAACAAGTAAAAACAGGCTTGTGTCTAGACGAATGGGCATCAGAGAAATCGAAGTAGCTGGCCACAAACTTATAATACACGAGCAGGACAACGTTTACGACTCGCTCACAGGTCGCGCACTCACCGGTGCATGGCTCTGGGACTCTGCTGTAATCTTAGCTCATTATATGGCAACCCATTTGGACTTTCAAACCAAGTCCGTGCTCGAGCTCGGTGCCGGAGCCGGCCTCCCAGGACTGACAGCGGCTAGGCTTGGGGCCAGCCGGGTCGTTCTCACGGACGTTAAGCCGTTGCTTCCCGGGTTAACAAACAACGTTAAGGCCAATGGGTTAGGAGACCGAGTTGAAGTAAGGGAACTGGTGTGGGGATCGGAGGAGTCAAAACAGAGTGAAGTGGGGGAGTTTGACTTTGTCTTAATGAGTGACGTATTTTTTTATCCGGAGGACATGGTGGGGTTGGGAAAGACGTTGAAGAGCGTGTGTTACCGTAGTAACACTTGGATTTGTGCAGTGAGCGAGGTAAGGCCGTGGACGGGTGATTGCTTAAACGAGCTAGTGAATCAAGGTTTTAGAGTTACAGAGTTAGAGAGTAAACTCGGCAGTGGTTCATCCGGCGAAGGCAAAGATAATTTGGACGCGTTCGCTGTGTTTCAACTAATATCACCACTTCAAGAAAATTGCCACGAGACTGACATATTTATTTGAATGATGTGTCAAACACTGCTGTTTGTTTAATGATTAAAAGGGAACTATATCGGCAGATGAAAATTTCGAATTTTTTATGCATAAAAAATGGTTTTTTGAGTTATTTTGTTAAAAATGGTGCATTAAATGACTTAAATGTTTAAAATAGAAGGGAATACTTCAAGCTAATCACTTTAAAGTCAGGTCATGTTAAACGCTAGGCAATTTTATGCTTCATTTATTAAAATCCTCCAAAAAACAACCAATCCCAAGATAGGTTACATAACATAACACAATTAAACTTCATAGTAAAACCAATCACATTTTTATATACCAACAATATCTAGGGTGATAGTAGTTGCACTAGTTACACTTTCTTCCACTATGTTTGTCTATTAAATAATGTGAGAGTATAATTACATGTCAGGAAGAAGCTGAAAGGGTTAAGCGACTTTCCTCAATCCTCACCATGCTGCTGTTCTGTACAAAACTTTCAGTGGTGACAGCCTCAAACTAATCGGATTTTTTCCTCATAAATCAATCAAAAGCAGATAGCCTCTTCTCTTTTAAGATCAAACCCTTTCCACCAAACCCATGTCATGTAATTCTATCTCCCTCGTACCAATATTACCTTTTTTTTTTTTCTCAAAACAATAGAAAACTTCAATCAGGTAATCGGGGTTATCCTTTTTCTTTCTCAGCCCTTGATGTGCCACCCATTTTTGCGCACACACCCATCAACCACAGTCACTGGCTGAGAATATATTTATTCCCANGAAGCTGAAAGGGTTAAGCGACTTTCCTCAATCCTCACCATGCTGCTGTTCTGTACAAAACTTTCAGTGGTGACAGCCTCAAACTAATCGGATTTTTTCCGCATAAATCAATGAAAACCAGATAGCCTCTTCTCTTTTAAGATCAAACCCTTTCTACCAAACCCATGTCATGTAATTCTATCTCCCTCGTACCAATATTACCTTTTTTTTTTTTCTCAAAACAATAGAAAACTTCAATCAGGTAATCGGGGTTATCCTTTTTCTTTCTCAGCCCTTGATGTGCCACCCATTTTTGCGCACACACCCATCAACCACAGTCACTGGCTGAGAATATATTTATTCCCACATGGAAATCATCTCTACAGGTTGTAGAGATGATTTGTCGCAAGCCTGCACTTAAAGGCAGATATATTTGGGCACACATGACAGCACAAACCAAGTTGCTGAATGCAAAGAATATAACCCATCATATTCCAAAGCACCTACAGCCTCTCAACCATTATAGTGGACTTTCTGGTTTTGTGAGCCCTGGCCCGGTTGTGGCTGCTGCTGTGAAGCCTGCAAATTTAGTGGTTGAGTGTTGTAGTGGGCAAAGGGCTGGGAATACAGAGAATTCATCAATCCCTGCACATAAGTTTGCCATCTTATATAAACTGCTTACTAAAGAGGATCACCAGGTCAGCAAGACAAGATTAAACTTGGCAAATTAACAGACGCATAATGTTGTAAACAAACTATTTGCTGAATCATACAAGCCAAATTAGCAGAGGCAGAATGTTGTAAACATTTGGCTATGTATAGAAAGCCTCTAACTCCTTGATATTTGGCTTGTATGATTCAGCAAATAGTTTCCCAGTGGCCAAATGTTTCTAACATTTGCACTTTGATAATTGCATCTTGTAACAAAATCTCCATCAACTACAATTGGTATAAGAAAAAACCTGAGACTGAAGTTGATTGGGATTGGTTACACCAAAGTGGCTCTGCGATGCTTCATCTTGTGTGGGGTCATTAAAGCCAACTTGAGTAAATAAACCTTGTGATCCGTGAGCCATGTAGTCCTGTAACAAATGAAATTAAATAGGAAGAGAAACAAATAACAGCAATAACCTAGACATATTATGGCAGTCCAAACCTGAGACATGAAATCATTCCCAGAACCAAAACGAGAATATCCAGCTTGAGAATTCTGGTTCAAGAAGTTGCCAGGAAATCCACTCTGAGCTCCTTGTGTAACATAGTCAACAGTATAGCCACTTTGTGAAGCCTGCTGAGTAGGTCAATGTGTCAATATCAAAAACTAGTTAGTTGAGGGGGGGGAGAAAAGACATTAATTCATTAGGAGAAAACTACGAAGTCATAATACATTTAAGCAAACAATTCCCCAGAACTCTTCAATCACTTTCACAATGTCAACAGTATTTCATTTGCTTCCTAAGCAATGGACGCAAATAATGATTACCATGTCTAGCAACCCTTTATTGGTTTTGACAAGCAAAGCCTACTAATATAGACCTACTTTTGATGTACAACTATACATTGTGAAGCTGCCAAGTAAAAAGGCCAATTGTGTCCAAATTTCCAGATAAAGAAGTAAGCCCTGCCAACCACCCCTCCACTCTGCTACATTTTACTAACATATATCATATAGCATTGAGCATAAAACTTGATGACATAAATGTTTTCAACAGTATATACCTGAGTAGAGAAGTCAGCAACATTATAAGGAACATGTGATCCCTGGCTTTTGAAGTCATCACCCAAGAAGTCCTAATTGGAAGATGAAAATACAACTTGTAAGTAATGAGTATTAAAAAAAAATAAGTCCATGAAAGTAATTTGTTAATCATGATTAAGTATGAATACCTGAGACATGCCTCCCATGGAAAATCCATCACGGAAAGTTTGACTAGCCCCTTGAACTGGCATCTGTCACATTGAACAAATAAACTCTTAAGACACAAGACTAGATGAGTTTTTTTTTTTTTTTTTCCAATGAATTAACATAAGATTCAGGTTCAAATTTCTTTTCTTTTTTTCTTTTTTTTCTTTCCTTTATTCTTGTTTTTGAGGCAGAGAGAGATATACGAACATTATTAACAAATCCAGGTTGTGTCAAAGGACCACCCACAGATGGTTGGCTATTTGGATTCTCAAGAGATGGAAAGTTGAAAGTAGAACCAATAGTTCCAATTGATTGCTGAGAGGTTTGCTGGTGCTGGAGATGACTGCCGATTGGAGCGCCAGCATTACCACGCCCAGCCCCAAAACCCCGACTTCCCGGTTGAGGGACATGAGGAACAGCTCCAACTGGTCCATGTACAGCTCCACGAGTTGGAATAGCATATGGTTGAGAAGGGGGACCACCCTGAAATGGTGGAAGGGGCACACGAGGCATAGGGAAACCTGCAGGATGTACTACAGGTTTATGAGTACCATTAGGTGGCACAGGAGGCATATATGACCCTGTAATCGACAGAGAATGTCAGCTCAAGCAAGACTTCTTCAATTCAATAAAATATCAGCTACTAAAAATAACCGGGGGAGTGTCATAGCATTATATCACCGTGCGTGCAGCATACTCATGACTTCATCAATATTACAGACTTATCCCAAATACAGAAATTCAATAGGCTAGAGATTGCATACCCCTACCACGACCGCCTCTTCTATCAACATTTGGGCTGGATGATGAGATATCATTAGACACAATTCCAGGCCCACCACCACCAAAGTAAAGTCTTCGATCATTGTAAATCTGTGTTAAAATACAAATTCTCATATCACTTCACATCCGCTCAAATAAACCAATATGAAACCATAAATTGAATCGAAAGCCGGCAAAAACATCCTTAAGAAACAAAGCCCATGAACTAATATTACATACGGATCAACCAAAAACCCATTTTCATCCAGGCATTACCTTTTTGGGCTTCTGAAATTGAACCATACTTTGCTTTAAGTTATTTAGAGGCCCCTCAACCAAGCACTCGTGCTCCTGGTACAACATTCATGAACAGTTTTAGTTTAGAACATAGGAAATAACGATAGTATTTATCTGCATAACTGTATATACCCAGTACAATGCCACAAATTATCTTTATATACTTCTAAAACAGAAAGTTCAAAAATTGAAAGACGTTGCCAACATAACATATGCAGCTGCAACTTCATTACCATGACATGGTGCCAGGTGTCTAACATATAACTAGCTTTTAACATCAACAAACCAATTCCACATCATAAGTATACCCAGTTGGAGTCTAATTACACTATTTATACAAGTAGCATAACCACAGAAAAGAAAGTGGATAGGAGATACCTTGTAGTGTGTCAATAAGCCATTCCAAAGTGGCTGTTTGCTCAGAACTTTAGGGTTTCCCAGAATAACGATACCATATCGAGCACGTGTTAGAGCAACATTCAGCCTACGAGGATCATTAAGGAATCCAATACCCTGAACATTTATTTTCATCACAATATTATAAGTTGTCACATAATAAAACGATTTCAACAGGGGTAATCTATTTACTCTTATAAGGGGTGTTAAAATGTGCCAAAGTACTAATGGAAGGATGCTGAAATTTTGGAAATTAAAGATTTTCCTCATCATACCACATTCCACTCGGCATACCATATTCACATTCCCATTAACAACGAAAAACATCATGCATTAAATTAACATTGATGACAACTGAACCAACCTGATGTTCATTACTCCTCACACAAGACAAAATAATGTAATCTTTCTCTCTTCCTTGAAATGAATCAACACTTGCAACCTGTAAAGTTCATATAAATTATAGACACAGAAACCAAAGATCGAGTGAGACAACTGTTTGTCAAACCTATGCATTACCTCAATTTCCTTGTACAGTTGTTGTCTGAGAGCACCATTCCTTGACATATAGTTCACAATATATGCTCTCTGTCCCTCGTATGGCGTTATCACCCCAATCTATAAAATGTCAAAAACTTATTTAGACCACCAAAACACATATTAAAAATCACATCTAATATAATTTCAAGGAGAACCACATATATACCTGGCTAGGGACCACCCCACTCCTTAAGAAAGTAGTTACAATTTTCTCAACATTTGCGGCCTCAGTCCGATTTAGATAGGACGTTCCACTGGCACTAATCTCCTCTTGTCCCATCTAAGAAAACAAAATTACATGATACAATGAAATTCAAAATATGAACAAGAACCACCGAAGAAGAAAAGGTTCGCACAGTACTATACCAGAATCAATTCATGTTCTTAGCAATCAACAAAATCTGCGTGCATCTTTGCTTTGTAGAACACACACACACGAAAAAAAAAAAAAATGTTGAGGGAACTTTCCTTTTTTTTTTGGGGGGGGGGGGGTTGGGGGGGGGGGGGGGTGGGGGGGGGGGTGGGGGGGGGGGGGGGGGGGGGGGGGGGGTGGGGTTGTGGTTTGGTTGTTAAAGAAATTTCTCAGCTTCTTTTATCACAATCAGTCAGACCATCAAGAACAGGCTTAAGTAGTTGAAATAAGTAGATTGATTTGTCAAGTTAAAGTGACAATGCCCAAATATAAAGTCATTACACAGCTATAATACCTGTACATAAAAGAACATGGACGATTTGGCACAGGCCACGGAAATCGATTCCTGATGATTGCCTCTCATTAATAGTCACACCATTTTGTAGTGTGCCTTCATAGAAGCTTTAGAAGGAAATTCAGACAGGCAAGGGTGCATGCGGTTTGAACCTGTAATCAGAGGACAAAACATATTACATTTGCGACAAGACATTATTTATCAGCAACAATCTGAAGTACACAAAAAACATGAAATCACAAGACATCCATTCTCACATCCCCATTTTCTAAACCATTTTCCCAAAAATCAAGACCTCTTTTTTATCACAAAAATCAAAACCATTGACATGTCAATCTTCAACTTCTCGGCAATAATAAATGTAAACAGCACTTAAACTAAAACACTGCATGTACAGAAAGGGGGGGGGGGGGGGGGGGGGGGGGGGGGGGGGGGGGGGGGGGGGGGGGGGGGGGGTGGGGGGGGGGGGGGGGGGGTGGGGGGGGTGGGGGGGGGGGGGGGGGGGGCGGGAGGGGGGGTGTAGGAAGGGAAGGAATAACATGCTGACATTGTTCCACCATCGAAAGGAAAAAAATAGACAATCTTTGGCTGTCCAGCAGATGCTACAGTTAATCAATGATAAAAAGCTGCAAGCTATGAAGTCAACATTGACTTGAACAATAAACAAAGAAGGAAAGGGAAATGCTGGCAGGTTTAAGTGCAGTCTCTATATCAAAAAGTCATGCTCTGAGAAAAAAACTCACTCGACGTATATGGGAAGACATCAAACAAATGGCATCAGCATCTAAAGACAATTCCTAGCTTTACTATAAAATTCAATGATATATAAAAAATAAAAAAAGTCGAAGCTGTTTTCTACACATAATAGATTTGATATGACTACCATCAAATTGGTAATCATGAGCATAATAATGTCAAAAGCAGTGTCTTCATATGCCCATCTAAACAAATTTATACATCTCCATACAACATAAGCCTGATCATTGCAACAAACTTCCAAACAAGATCAAAAGCCATTGCCAAAAAAAGAAAAGAAGCAAACAATACAATCACAAGCAACAAACGGATCACTACTACTATGAAACCTACCTACTTTACCCAAGCAAAAGAAAACTAACAACTGGAATCTTCACCTGCAATCTAATTGGTTTTAAACCAAGTAAAACAAGGCGTTCAAAAAGAGACTGGGCAAGCCCAGCACGAGCTGCTTTCTTGCACATAATGACTGGACCGAGTTGGCAATGATCACCAACAAGAACAACCTAATTGAAAAGTTTGTCGTTAGTTGCTTAGAATGCAAAGATGGTATAACTAGAATATAGAGTTTAATCCCAGGTACCTGTTTCGCCCCAAGAACCAAAGGAATAAGACACTCAGGTTCTGTTGCCTGAGTAGACTCATCAATAAGTACCTAGAAGACAGGAAAGCCAGTAAGCCTACTAAGTATTTAATGATGATTAAATGTTTAAATAGGAAGTTCTTCAACCTGGCGGAACCTAAAATTTGCCAATCGAGGATCTCCCGCACCAACACATGTGCAACAAATGACATCAGCACTCTGTGAAATTTCCCTCTCTGTTGCCCGCTTGAGTGCTTTGTATTTTTTCTCATCACTGCTCGACAACTCCCCTGTAATTTTTTAAATAAAAAATGTTCCAATTAACAAACCCAGGAGAAATATGTTTCAGCATCCGAAATACAAAACCCACGTCCCACTAGAATAAAACCAAATTAAAAGGTCAGTCACCCAAACATGAGAAGTATATAATTGCCCACAACAACACAACAGTACCAAACATGTCCATACATAAGAAACACTGATGAGGAAATAAAAAACATAAACATTAGAAAACATATATCAATTTTTACGTGGTTTAGAAAAAAATCTCACAACATCAAAATAAATCTACAACATAATGCTCACATAATTATCCACGTCCAACAACATATATATAAAACAACCTTTTTTAACAGTTTAAAATACAAAGAGAATGGCACCCAATGTCAAATATAGGGAAAATATCTCTAAAGATGGAGTATAATTCATCTTCAATAACAGTTTACCTGTGATGCATGACATGTCTATATATTATCTGCACTGAATACTAATGATAACATTCTTTTAATCAAGAGAGCAGAGAGGTCCTTGCATTTTGCGAAGAGATGAACCCACTCAATATAAATAAATTCAAACACTGAACATTTATATCAGTACCCTTAGTTTAGTAATTTAAAAACAAGAATCAATATGAAAACCTAGATGGAAGCTCCAAAAAGTACTCAAAAGCTAAGAAGAATTAAGTAAAGATGCTGACCTTGTTCATCTTTCAATTGTTGTAACTTGTGAAGTTCACTCTTCTCGGATGTGTCAAGATGACGAACCTGCGACAAGCCATCGTTAATATGAAATCATGCTAGAGTATACAATGTACAAGAGCATTAAAAGACGGAATAGCTCATGATGCAAAAAGGTGACAAACCTGATAATGAAGGGTTAAATGCTCAACTGGAGAGCTCACAGCTTCCCTTGATTTGGCACAAAGTCTAACAACCTTCAGTTAAATAAGAACTTTATTAAAAGGACATTACATAAGAAAAATTCAACTCAAATGAACCAAAAAGAAACATTGAATTAAAAAATACAAAAGGAATCATTGTTACAATTTCAAAGAAAAAAATGTAAGCAGTGTTCTACTGCAAAAGCAAAACTGCAATAAAAGTGACTCCTGTTTAAAATTTGAAAATAGTATTCATGTTTATGCATCATCTAATATGGGTCCGCTCAAAAAAATTCTTTGTTGTTTATAACATATAAAGTAAATGTGCAATTTAACAACTCTCCAAGAAAATATCATTTCCAGAAACAGTAGCATAAACAAAAAGTAATGATACTAGAATACCAAGTCAACATAAGATACAAATTAACAATTTCATACAACTTCATGGAAAGGTTTCTTTTTCTTTTCTATACCTTTAACCCAGTGGCACTTATCTTTTCAGCTAGCTGATCAACAGCAACATTGCTTGGTGCACACACCAAAACCTGATAAAAGAAAGAAACATCGTAAAGTTATGTGATAAGAACATAAAAGTGCCAATAATATAACAGCTGTAGAACAGCTTACCTGCCCTTGGCCCTGCTTGGCCATGTGGTATACAATAGCTGCCGAAGTGACAGTTTTCCCTGTGCCCGGTGGCCCTTGAATTAAGCTTATAGGCCTCTGAAGGACACTCTTTACAGCAAAAACCTATCCATTGAGAAAGGTAAGGACAACCCCACACAGAAACAGTTAAACAAAAGAATCTAGCTCAAAGAGCACACACTAATTTATGGCTGTAGTAATATTCCTAGTAATGAAATATTCTCACAGAAAAAGATTATACAAACTTGTATGCAAAAATGAGATTATTTCAGAGATACTAAACCTAAAGCAAAATGTTCATGTAATAATGGCTAAAGTGTAGCATATTTTGTTACAATTAGGTAATATAAATACATTAAAAGAAAATTAATAATTATCACAACACATTACCAGATAAAAAAGTCTAATACACAAAATCTAGAGTGCAAATTTCTGCATTTACATGAAATATGTGCCATAATCAACTTATGTAAGTCGACACCAAGATTTCTAACTACAGAATCCACAATATTTCATGACAGATTCTGAAAATGTATGCATCCCTCAAATAAGAAAAAATAAACAATTGCATAACTTAAGAAATTTACATTTAGAATATGAGATAATAACAGCCACAAAATCTAATGAATTGCACTTTAAAGGGTGCCAAAGGTCAAGATAGCCTACTTGCGATGCATTCAGCTCTGGAAGACCAGGTGCACCAAAACGACGAGGCAGTGTATTGCGAACCATCTGAACCTCAACTTCATGGCCCAACAAGTGGTGGTAAATATACCTGTTAAGAGGTAGTAGTTATGAAAGATTCAACCTAGCATACAACATAGATCCTCACCACCAACATAACAAATTGCAAAGTCTACTACAGAAAAATTAAAAGAAAAATTTAACATATGCATGGACATTAAAGTTGATATTATTTTTCCACTTATTCAATTGGAAGCATTCATATTGAAAATTAACAAATGTCCCAGAACCTTATCAATGCACAAAAAGATGTAAACAAAACTGAACCAGTGGACCTACCCACTAACACTTGTTTCATCAACGGCAAAAGTTTTCATCGCCCCCTGCATCCTATCAAAGCTTGTGCTCTTCCACACAAAATCAACACTGAACCCATGATTTATATCAACAGGAACCCCCTGCATTCAACAGTAACATAACAACTATTATCAAGTTAACTTGAAGTTCAGAAGCAGCAAATATAACACACTACCAAAACTACCTGACTCGCACGAAGCTCAAGTGCAACCTCCTCTTGTGCAGTTAGCTTGATCTGAAACAATATTGAGATATTTTAAGATTCAGACTTAGATCCATAAAAGCAATTGAATTATTTCAAGATAGTAAACAACTTATGAACATTTAATCGTGTAATTCAACTACAAACACATCAAATTCATAAAAGAGATTAAAAATATGTAATGATTGGAACTAATATTTGAAGAAAGAACATACCACATGCCCAACTGACTGCCATGCTGGATGAGCTGCATCCCCGGAATAACGCAACCTCAACTCATCNTGAAAAAAAAATGATAAAATTAAAACAGCTAGCAACCTCTAATAGTTAAAAAGATGTAGTGTCAAAAAAGTGCCTATCCTACTTTGAGTAGAAAACGTAAGAGTATGCAAACATGACTTTCTTATAACTAAGGGGAGAGAGTACCAAAAAAGTTTGAATGTCTAATGCCTTCAGCATTAACAAGAAGTACTTCAAGGATTCCTCGTTTCATGTGTGTGTCTCCCTGTGCATGAAAGATGGAATACATAATAGTGGCAGTTTTGCAAGCTCACTTTATTCAACAATGAACCTATTGTAAGGGCAATTTAAGGTATCTCTAATCCATCTCCAAAATTAATGCCTGTCAAACTATAACTGCTTAGACAATTAATTTTAAGTTACATTTTTCCATTAATCAGATGTAAGACAATTAACATGGTTTATGTTTGCCTGATTACACCTTTCAATATTTAAGTGTTCGTATTATCTTTTGTTTGATATAAGTTATAGAATTGAGAATTTAAGGAGAGTATATACATTTTCTTAGTTCTTCTTCTAGGAAGGGAACAGTTATGTAAAACTAGATGTTTCAAATTTCTCCAGAATCTACCGTAACTCATTGTCTTCTTGAAACAATGGAAGCAATTCAAATTCATCAAAGAACGAATTAGAAAGGTAGAAGATAATAAAAAACCGAGATGTAGAAAAAATTACTAATAATGTAACAATAATGAAATTACAAGGATAAGAATCAAAACCAAAGCAGTGAAGCACCTTTGGAAATACAAAATATGCAATACATTTCTTGTTAAGACCAATATCCCATCGAATAGTGACATTGTCCTTGCTTTGGGATTCTTTCATCATCTATATCAAGATTTAGACAATCAGATTTTGCACAGTATATTATAACAAAGAGCTCATAAGATTAAAAACTCTGAAAACACTTATCAAATCAGAAAATAATCCCCATAAATCATGATGCATACTTTATCATAGTCAGCTTCATGCTTAATAAGTGGTGCAAATACATTTTGATACTGCAACAGAAAGCGATTCAAGGTTAATAGCCATGAGATTAATTGCAATTTCTTCCAATATTTTCATTTGATACACCAAACCAAAATTTTAAATTATTTGTGAACAGAGAAACCTGATATGCATCTTCATACTTCAAGGCCACAGGTTCAGGTTCAGGTTCATCATCCACACCAGGCTTCCCAAGATCTTCAAGGGTAGCATCAGGATTTGTCTTCCAAAGTTCCTCTACCTTGTTAATTTGTTAAGCACTGATCTGACGTGCCCTCAACTGCTCCTGCTCAGATGGGATTTGTGAAGAGCAAACATGTTAGCAAGTCTAAGAATAAAGGACTAAAATCAATAACAAAAAGAAAAATACCAACCTTAACAAGCCATTACAAGAAACACCTATCATCAATCAAGGCGCACCACTAACTCAGATCCCAATTCATGTCCTTCAATGTATTTACATTCAAGCAAGGTTCCCTACAGAGAAGAACAACAACACTCTCCGTCTTAGCTGATATAAATCCAAGAAGAAATACAAATTGGCATCCACAGTTGTAGCATTCAAGGATAGTCTCTCCCAAAGGACTGTCCTTATGTTTTGCTCGAACGTACAAGAGAACCCACCAAAATCAATATGGGCCACCAAAATCCTGATCTCTCAGCTATATCACAAATCCAATTAGCATACTTGATTGCACCCAGTTGAGCACACGCTGAAATAACACTAACCAAAGTAACTTCGTCTGTTTCAACACCTGAATTTTGCATTCTCTCAAAATATTATATTGCTTCTNCACGTTAGCAAGTCTAAGAATAAAGGACTAAAATCAATAACAAAAAGAAAAATACCAACCTTAACAAGCCATTGCAAGAAACACCTATCATCAATCAAGGGGCACCACTGACTCAGATCCCAATTCATGTCCTTCAATGCATTTACATTCAAGCAAGGTTCCCTACAGAGAAGAACAACAACACTCTCCGTCTTAGCTGATATAAATCCAAGAAGGAATACATTTCGGCAGCCACAGTTGTAGCACTCAAGGATAGTCTCTCCCAAAGGACTGTCCTTATGTAGGCAGACTTCCTTGTGTTTTGCTCGAACCTACAAGAGAACCCACCAAAATCAACATGGGCCACAAACATATACATGGCAAGTTCCACTAGCTTCAATCAAGTTATATTCAGCCCTAGCTAACAATAACCAAAAGAAATCACTGAATGCAACCAAAAAATCATAAAAAATACTGTAAAACTGTATGTGTCTCTGTGTCTATAAACAGATCAATTTGTGAATACAACAGATGATTGGCATCACAAAATGATAGATCTGAAATATAACCCATACAACTTTCTTACACAAGTTTGCTCATTTAAAATAAAATTTAAGAAAAAGGGATATATAAAACACAATGATAAAACACAACGTAAATAAAAGCAATTTAGTTAAGCTACACTTGCCCCAAAAAAAAATTTAGTTAAGCTATATGAGTACAAATTCAACAACCAGGGTCCAGCATGCATCTTTTAGATGCAGGGTCCAGCATGCATCTTGTAGATGCAGGGTCCTGACTCTGGGGAATTTAATAGGGTCCAAATGTTAAGCATTTCCACATCTGGTGAACATTCACGAGACTTAAACATCTTATGAGTCTAAGAATGACTTTTTGTCATTATACCTAGATACAATATATCTTTATTTTCCTTATCAAAAAGTTTCTAAACTCTATGTGTTGTACAAAATATTCACTACTATATCACCAGCCAAAAATAACCGTTTATTTGAATATCAACAACGAATACTCACTACTGATTCTCTAGGTGTCTTAAATTGGGTTTCCTTCCTCATTATCAATAACACTTCAGTTTCTTTTAAAACAAAAAGGGTGCCATCAGATAACATGATCAAAATAGTTGTAATATCAGATGTCATAAAATCTTTTGAAGCTCCAATAATTACAAAATAAAAAAGTGAAAACAAAAATCTTTACAATCATGCTCATTTTATTCTCTGAAAGACAACACACAACCAGGAAGTAGATGCTCCTTTTATCTTAAACCTAACAAAACCTTCTAAAATTTCCCAGACTTCTGTCTTTCTTCACTACATCAGAACAGAGATTCGGATATTTCTTCATTTGAAAACAAATTTAGACTATATTGTAACCAGTTTTTCTTATAGGGCCAAATTTGCTTCCTTTTCAGTCACCCTAAATTTGAAAATAAATAGCCATTGTAGAACTTCGAAATTGAGACACATCCATCTTACTATGTAAAAAGAAACCAACATGAACAATCATATTGATTATAGTGCAATAATGAGCATCAACATAAAGTCAGTAGTCCACTCAAGCTTTCTCTAACTTAATTTTCAATAAAAGACTCATATATAATCCTCATAATTGTTTCTTTAATCCTTTGACTTGGGCATTAAATATAATCATTAAAAGGGAAAATTACAAAATTTTCAACTGCTCATATATTCAACCTTCTTACTGTCTTTACATACAATTTTCTTAGGTAATTGCAAATTCATGGATAATACTATCAACCTATTGAATCATATTTTTTCCCATCCAAGCAAAATTCTAACATTCAATGAAGTCTTCAGCATTAAATACCAACAGATAGTTAAAATATTAACAACATACAAGGTTAAACTCCTCGCTTGAGAAGTTTTTTTGTGATCTAATTTGCATGTGCTTTCACTGGTTCTAACGTAGATTACAAATTGAACACTCTACTTCAATTCAAAAACCAACAAAGCAAGCAAGACCTACAAAAATTCAAGCACTCTCACTCTTATCTCCTGCCAACTCTCATATACCAACTTAAAAAAGACTTGAAACAAAATAAAAGGACCCTAAAACGGAAGACAAGGTAAAACTGATTGAGCATAATTTAGATAGAAATCACTTCAACTTCCCTAAAACAATACATAAAAACAACAAAACCTATCATAAGTCAGCACCCCCTCAATCTCATCAATTGAAAAGAAAAACTAATTAATAATAGAAAAGGTGAAAAGAAACTCACCAGATGATTGACGATGTGTGAGCCGGAGGTGTTGCCTCTGGAATTACAGAACCACTTACGACATGACGGGACATTGCACCGTACAACACAAGCCGGGTTCGAGACCCCACAGTACCGACAAGCGTGCTCCGTGAAATCTGCTTTTCCATACTCGAACCCCTCCCCGTCATCACCCGTTTCCTCGAAACTCAATGCCGCAAGCCCGTCCACAATCTGACTACTACTGGTACTAATGCTATTATTGTTATTACTGTTATTGTTGGCTCCTCTTTTAGAAGGGGATGATGTGGCGGCAAGAGAATCGGAGTGTCGGTGGTGATTGTGGTGGTGATTGTGGTGGTGGTGGTGATCGGAGGAGGGAGGTGCACCGCGTGAATCGGAGGGGGTCGTTGGGGTGGTAGGAGTCGGCGTGGAAGCGGGGTCCACCGAGAGAGAATCGGAAGGCGTGGGCCAGGATACCGGCGAACGAAATTCTGGATAGGCGTCGAAATCGGACTCGCCTTGTGTGTTGAATTCGAGGAAGGTGTAGGCGTCGGTCCCCGTATCCGGCTGCGATGCGGTTTCGAATAGGTTGTTTTGCTGAGAATCCATGGAACAAAAAGGAGTGGTTTTTATTTTCGGAAAGAAAATTAGGGTTAGGGTTTTTGGTTAAACAGAGAGAGGGAGGGGGGAGAGAAAAAGAGAGAAAGAGAGAGTAAAAATGAGGCGAATTGTGTGAGAGAGTATGTTGTATTGTTGTTAATGTGGGTGGGTATGTGGGTGGGTTTGGGTTTTGGTATGTCCGTAAGTGTTGACGTTACGGCGCCAAGTCAGAGACAGAGAAAGAGAACGCGCGTGTGAGGAATATAGATAGCGTTACAAACAACGCACATCACGCGCCGACGTAATTGTACATAGAAGCGTGGGTCCCCATCTCAGTTATTCCGTGAGTTGTAACGGGGATTGAATATCAACTCAACATTATCAAGCATATGCTTGGAGCGTGGAGCGCCTTTTTTTCCTCTTTTAGCATGGAAAGTGACGTGAAGTGGCCAGACGGGTTTCAGTTTCACAACCATTTTATTGTATTTAAATGCTATATTATTACGGTAGTTTCGAATGATAGAAATTACGAGTTATTTCAGTTGGTGGAATTAAAATATCTTCCCGTTATAACTTTATTCTTTGTAATTAATTATTCTAACTAGAAAATTACAAATTTGAGAGACTTGTGACCAATCAATTAAACTAACAAGGCTATATATAAGAAATAGAAATATATTTTTATCATACAGTGATCAAATTTTACATTATCTTTCTGTAGATTCTTATTGATTAATTACAGAGAAAATACAAATGCAAACTAAACCACCCTAAAGCAATTCCTCCCAGGCGTCACCCAATGAATAAGCCAATGACAATGAGTGATCCTTCCATATGCACTTAATTGCTTTGTCAATTTTTAACATATTATACATCTATATCTATGCCATAACACCATATTATTAGCTTTATATTCCCATAATATGATTACACATTGTGATTGAATAGAGGCATTATTCCATATTTGTATACAATATTGAAACAATAATAATATGCTTACTCATGAGTTTATTAACCACCTTACTACTTTTGTTAAAATTACATATAGTATCTATATTATACGTATGATACCTGTATTATACGTTATATTTACAAAAGATAAGAAGATGGTTAGTAAAATTGTGAGTAATTACAAGATTACTCATATTGAAATAGCAATCTTAAATTGGACCAGGGAAGGTTCCCAGCTCTCGCTGTTCATTCCACTTCTCAATCTGCAAAAAAAAAAAAACACAATCATTTATTATACATGACCTTAACCTCCACTCAGCAGACCACTACAATCAAAATTAATTTTCCTCACCCATTCATGAGGACACAATGATTTATAATACTTTGCAAACTTCTCGAATTCAGGTGCATTTTTTACTTTCTCCTCTACACACCTATATTTTTAACACCTTTTAATTAACTGAATAACTCAAATTTCATGTATATGAAATCGATCAACCCAAGCAACTGTAATTTATTCACTTGTGATACTCAATGTAACGAGCATAACAGTGGCGAGTTTGGTTCATGACAGGAAAGCGATCGTCGTTCGGTGCTGTCTCTGACGATTCCATCTGTTTAAATCATTCCTCCATAAGTTAATGAATCATCGAATTACGACGTAAATGAAGCATTTTTCTTTCGCGTTAATAACTACGTACCTTATTATCATCGTTGTCACGATCATCATGATGTTGTTTATTGGATGATTTTGAAGAGTTTGGTTTATAAGGAGGGGGTGGAGAGACGGTGCCGTAATCGTGAGGAGGCGCAGGAGCTTGTTCCCCTCTAGCCACCTTGTTCACATCTCTTGACCTCATCTTGTCGTGTGGATCTACTTGTGCTGCTCTCTTTCATACTACCTCAGATCAAATCAAATGAAATCAAATGTTGCGGTGTTTTTGTACAATGTTTGCCGAACAACAGTATCCTTCAGAATTTTGTACATTAAATAGCTCAATCTCCAGTCCTCCTCTTGATATAGAGCCACGTCGCAGTGCAGAAGACACCTGCACTTAGTTCCGTTGTGAGGATAGTGATGTGTCTGCAGTACACTACACTGATCCAAACTAAAGCCACGCTAGATCATTATTAATTCAACAATGCTACAGACACCGATACTGTACACCAAATTATATGTCCTGTGACTTAGACTAGTCACGTATCTCATGAAGAAAAATGTTATAGACATTGACGCTTTGCACCGAACGATGTGTCCACTGAATCAGACGAGTCACGTATCATGTTAACAAATATTTCGCGAATGAACGGCCGTCTATCAAATACGAACGACCGTCTATTGTTATTGGATGACCGTTCATTTGAAATGGACTCTTGTCCATATTATATGGATGGTTGTCTACCTAGAATGGACGCGTGTTCATAATTTAAACTAAAAAAAAAAAAATTGGCCTAAATTGTTTATGGACGTCCTTCCTTTTATGAGGACGCCCGTCCATAGATCATAATTTAAACTAAAAAAAAAAAATTGGCCTAAATTGTTTATGGACGCCCTTCCTTTTATGAGGACGCCCGTCCATAGTTATGGACGGTTGTCCTCATAAGAGAAAGGGCGTCCATCGACAGTCTATGGACGGGCGTCCTCATAAAAGGAAGGGCGTCCATCGACAGTCGTCCTCATAAAAGGAAGGGCGTTCATCTTTTAATATTAACAAATTTTAAATTTTAAATTTATTTAATGCATTAATTGTGAATTCTAATTGAGTTAGTGCCTTATTCTCATGACACTTGTCTAATTACTTTGAATATAGACAAAAATTTAATACCTTATTCTTATGACACTTGTCCAATTACTTTGAATATAGATAAAAATTTAATGAAGATAGCGACATTTACAAACTCAAATGTTATAAAAAAATTTAAATCAAACAATGGACATACGTCCATCTAAAAGGGATGTATATCCATTGAATATGGACGGACGTCCATAATTTTTGTTTTTAAATTTTTTTATTTTAAACAATGGACGGGCGTCCATTCTAGGTGAACGCCCGTCCATAATAAATAGACTCCCGTCCATATTATATGAACGGGAGTCTATTGTTATTTTCTCATGGACGGGCGTCCATTATAGGTGAACGGCCGTCCAATAATCACGGATGCCCATTATTTTGCTTTTAAATTTTTTTGGACGGGCGTCCATCACCGTCCATAGTAAATAGACACTCGTCCATATAAGATCGACGAGCGTCCATTATTTTTCTTTTAAATTTTTTTGGAGATGGACGCTCGTCCATAGTAAATGGACACCTGTTCATATAATATGAATGGGAGTCCATTAAATATGGGCGAGCGTCCATAAATGTTGGACGACCGTTCATTCACGAAAGACTTCAGCGTGGTCACGTCTGACTGGTTGCCATGTCCTTCAGTACAAAAATTTGGTGTCCGTAGCATTACTCATCCCCTGAACCAATATTTTGCGAGTGAATGGTTGTTCATCACCTATGGACGGTCGTTCACTGTTATTAGACGGGAGTCCATTATATGTGGACTCCCATCCATATTATATGGACGGGAGTCCACATAAAATGGACGCTCGTCCATACTTAAAGAAGCTTCCCTTAACTTCTTTGACTTGGTATGCACCCCTTTGTCTTTTGCCTCTCAAGTAAACTGTATGCTTCATTAAACATTCTAGCTAAGCCATAACCCATGATCATGGTGTTATAAGCATATACACGTGGAACTTTCCTATTGTGGTCCATCTGCTCAAACAACTCCACAACTTCCTCTAGTCTGTTAGTTTTGCAGAGAGCCCCTATCATACTAGTATAAGTTACATCGTCAGGTGCTAGCCCATTTGCTTTCATCTCGTGAAAGAATTTCCAGGCAATATCCACCTTTCCTACCTTACCAAAAAAATCTATACATACATTATAAAGAACAATGTCAACATGAAAAGAATTGCTCTTCATCTCATCCAACAGGGAGAAAGCAGCATCAACACAACCCTCCTTGGCAAAAACACGGATAAGAGTTGTAAACAGATGAACATCAACCTCATAACCTAGCTCTTGCATTTGATGAAAGAGAGCAAGCATGAGATCAGATTCATGAACTGTAGAAAGAGCACCAATCAAAGTTGTGTAAGCTGAAAAAGCAGGCCTGAATTTGAACTTCCTCACGGTCTGAATAATATCAAAAGCTTCCCTTAGCTTCTTTGACTTAACACAACTTAAAATTAACTCAATACACGTGTTATTAGTTGGGCCAAATCCAGCAAGACACATTTCTCCCAGAATCTCTTATAGAAAATCAAACTTTTTGGTATGGACGGACATTTCTAATTTATGGACGACCGTGCCTGAAAAGTGGACAGGCGTCCACATATAATGGACATCCATCCATACTTTAAATAAAATACTATTTAATTTATAATATTGGGACGCTCGTTCATCATTTATGAACGGCCGTCCCTTAGTTTTGGACGGACGTCCCTCTGTAAATTAAAAAAAAATACAATTGTATACAAAATTCAGGGACGGCCATTCATTAGTTATGGAAGACCATCCCTGAGTTTTGAACGAGCGTCCTATAACAGTGAACTACCGTCCATAGGTGATGAACGGTTGTTCACTCACAAAATATTGGTTCATGGGATACGTGGCTGGTCTGAGTCACGGGACACGTAATTCGGTGTAACAATTTGTTGCACAGTATCGGTGTCCGTAGCATTGTTGTCATTAATTACCCCAACAATATATTAGATGTCGTTTTATGCCTTCAAAAGCGATGCCTTAAATTTTCATGCGTTTTGCCTTCGGACTCCCAACCTCACCTGGTCTTTTAACAAATCACAAGGTTCTATACAAATTAAATTTTAGGGGTGAGATAAAAAATCCGAAAACCGAACCGAACAGAAAATTAGGTTTTTTTTCAAACTGGTTCGGTTTTCATTTTGAAAACAAATTCAAACCGGTTTTTAAACCGGTTTAACCCTAAATATAAAAGCAAAAATTTTTTATCCTCACCCTTAGTCCCTCACGCAGACGCAGTCACGCACTCAACCAGACAGCCACTCACACTTTCGTCTTTCTCTTGTTCTCTGCCTCCATTCTCCAAAGTTCAAATCTGAAAATTTCAAAACTTCCAAAGACCAAATTCCATACTCAAGTTCATCAGTTTCCCACCGTGGGCTACTGAGCAGAGCAGCTGACTCAATCCGTGTGCCATTAACAAATCCGGGGAGTGCGGAATCAAGAAACTTCACTAACACCAACACTGTGGGATGAAGATGATTTATGTTATATTAAGATTTTTTACTTTGTAATTTTATGTTATGTATTTGAGTTTATTAATGAATATTGACTATTCAATGATGTGTAATTGAATTCTTTATGTTTTTATTTCATATTATGGATTCAGTATCTGCAAATAAGTAATTTAATATGTTAATGTATTTTTCATACAAAGAATACAACAATAATACAAAATAAAAGAGAAACATAGTATGAAATTATATATAAAATAATAAATATTTGAATTTAGGGGCTTGAATAAAACATTGAAGAATTTTATGGATTAAAGGGTAATTTGAAAACCGGTTAACCGGTAACCGAACCGAAATTTTGGTTCGGTTTACATTCGGTTTTTAACCGAAAAACCGGTTCGGTTTTTGGTTTGGATAAACCGGTTCGGTTAACCGGTTTATCCCACCCCTATTAAATTTATTAGTGAACCTGGGTTATGTTTAGAAGCCACCAAGTTTAATTAATTGAATGATATATGAAGAGGCCAACAAGTTTATAATTAATGTTTGTAGAATCTACTACCAAATCCAATACGCTTCAATAATATTCTTTTGCAATTTATAATTTCAATCGTTAATGGAAATTATCCATCACATGCACTCAAAGTTCATTGGGTCTGACAGTTAAGAGTAACATATTTATAAACAATGATACTACGAGTCTACACCCACAATATTTTATACAAACTTACTCTCACAAACTTATGTGACAAAAGATAATTGAGTGATTTTAAATTTAAAACAAACTTTTACCTAATCATCTTTTGTTAATTAAGTTTGTGAGAGAAATTTTGTATAAAAAAATTATGGGTTATTTATAAATAGAAGGAAACTAATTCTTTACTAAGTGTAGTGTCCTTTATACAACTTTAATTAACAACATTTTGTTAGAGATATATTTATTTTAAAATTATTAATGTTGGCATTCATGTTATAAACTAACATTAATTATCTGGATACTTGATTAAGAAATCACAAACGGAAAATAATATGCTATTAGTAGAAGTATGCTTGCAATGAATGACAAAACAAACCTAAACATAGCTAACTGATCTTCAATTAATGTCAAAACAGAACACAAATTAAACAAAAATTTGTTTGGTTCTCTGTAATTGTGTTTAGCTTGTTGAAGTCTGAAGAACTCCATTAATCCTTCCAATTTGTATCAAGTATTTCGTTTGAAGTTTGATATCTCAATCCAAAAATGAAGCCTTCCTTCTCAATCTCCACTTTCTTTTATGTTTCCTTGTATTTATTTATTATGTTGACTAAGCTGATACAATCCACAGCGCTTGTCAAAAAGCTGAAAAGAGATGTGAAATAGGATGTTTGTGTAGACGGATAAAGTTTATGTACAAACTCTCGTTACACCATGTAAGTGTGATGAGAACACAACCCCAAATGCCTAATAAATTGTTATTTGTTAAGACCCAGCAACCATAAACGTAACTGGTATATTGAATTGAAAGGATAACCAAACACTGATAGCAGGAAATAACAAGGACAGAAAATAAAAAGGGTGACTAGCACTTCGAGGGTCTAGCGGCCTCCACAATTGATTCCAGATTTCATGATATCACTAGCCAACTATTTCTCCCCCTTATATACAACTGAAATCACACTCGCCGCACTCTCTTACGTGGAGATTCTTCCTAACTAATTTCTAACCTGAATTTCCCTTACTGCCCATTCCATCTGAATTTCCCAGGCTGCCCTTTTCCTTCTTCTTCTTATACAACTTAGTTATAGGAGGTCTATCAATACCACAACACATATGCCAAACAAAAGTCTAAGATAAGAACGGATCTTAGGCAAAGAGAGACCGTTTTAAATAAGGAAATGAAAGGCAAGGCCGGCAGGAAAGAAACTCACTAACTTTCTTCGCAACAGGAGAAATAGCTTTTGAAAGAGTCCCCCTGGGGGCTTGGGTTCAGACTCTTTTTCAAGTTAGCCAGGAAGGGAAGAAAGTAATCCTACGAATCTTAGGGGTATAGCTTAGAGACCTCGCTAACAGAACTCCAACGCCATTCAATGGTTATTCAATCAATGAGTTAAGCCAGGTTCTGTTCTCCTGATCCTTCTTTCCTTGGTCACATTAGTCGAATCCTGTTATCTTAAGAAAGGAAAGTGCACTTCACAAGCTCTCTTTCAAATAATCCAAGCTGGAAATGGAGGATCCCAACGGGAGACATAGCTAGAAGAGGAATCTCTCTCTTTCTTTATTTTATGCTGCATTTCTGCCTGGCCATAACTACTTATATAGTTCAACGGAAGTATGTTCTTGATCTTTTGTCTGAAACCGGTTTCTTAGCTTCTCGCCCTGTCGATACTCCTATGGACTCTACTGTGAAGCTTGATAATGAAAAGGGGGATTTATTTGAGGATGGACCCGTATTTGCTTCTCCTCTTCCTATATCAGGCTAAGCAGCATCGGAAGGCAAAGCATTACCAACTAATAATATAAGGTCTAGTACTTGTGGTATTAGATGGGTGTCTTCTTCTTTCCTTTGGTAATAGGTGTGGGGCACAATTCTCTCTCTCTCTCTCTCTATCCCCCCCCCCCCCCCCCCCTTTTCCCCTCCCCCCGCCTGCCCCTTTCTAGACCCACCTTGTCCTCAAGGTGAAAATCTAGGAACTACAGCAAGATCACGTCATAAGCCTCCCAAGAGGCTTCAAATGGTGGGAGGTCCTGCCATGAAATCAGAACTTCCAGAGAACCATCTAGCAACTTGCAAGTGGAGAGGACTGCTTCAGGTTGCACTTGAAGTTCTAAGTCTTCAGTAAAAAAAGAGGGAAGTTATTAGACAGGGACGAAAGAATGCATACTCGGTTTGAGTTGGGAAACATGGAACACCGGGTGGATGTGAGAAGTAGGGGGAAGGTCCAATCAATAAGCCACTTGACCAACTCTGTCTATCACCTTAAAGGGGCCATAAAAGCGAGGGTTTGGCTTCTCATTGAGCTTCCTAGCTAAAGACCTAAACCGATACGGCTGGAGCTTCAAATATACTAAATCCCTGGATTGAAAGGAGACATCCTGGCGGTGTGAATCCGTAGACTGCTTCATTTGATCTTGGGCGATAGCTAAATTGTGCTTGAGTTCTTCCAATATGGCATTTATGTCCCCAATCTATCGGTTGACATCCTCTACCAATGAGGGACGGTTAGTGAGCTTTAGAAGAATGGAGGATCCCTACCGTATAGAGCCTTGAAGGGGGTCATTTTGGTGGAGCTGTGGTAAGTAGTGTTGTACCAGAACTCAACCCACGCTAACCACTTAGGCCACTGTTGGGGCTGGGAATTGCAAAAACAGCGGAGATAGGCCTCTAAGCACCTGTTAACCACCTTCGTTTGCCCATCTATTTGGGGATGATAGGCGGAGCTAAACTTCAGAGATGTGCCTACTGCTTTAAACAATTCTTGCCAAAATTGGCTCACGAATACCCTGTCGCGGTTAGAAACAATAGATTGTGGGAAGCCATGAAGTTTTACCACCTCACGCATAAACACATTAGTGACATCTTTGGCGGTGTAAGGATGGGTTAACAAGAGGAAGTGAGAGTATTTCGTTAGGCTATCGACCACCACAAAAATAGTATCAAAACCTTTGGCCCTAGGCAAACCACTTATGAAATCCATTGAAAGATCATCAAACACTTGTGTTGGGATAGGGAGGGGCTGTAACAACCCTGCAGGTTTGAGGGAAGAGTGTTTGTTAACTTGGCAAGTGGCACACGTCTAAACAAATTTCAGCACATCTTGTCTAATACCCTCCCAAAACACAACAGCAACAATTCTTTGTTAGTCCGAAAGAAGCCACAGTGTCCACCACTCGGACTACAATGAAATTCCTCTAGAAGCTTAGGAGTGAATGTTGAGTTTTTAGGGAGGACCAACCTGTTCTTAAACAATAAACAACCTTTACGGAGTTGGTAGTGAGGATAACTATTGGGGTAAAAAAGGAGGTCTTGAAAAATGACT